CTTCTTAACTACTTCTAATAATATGGGGTTCTGATCTCTATTAGGGGCCTGGCTCTCTAACAACCTTCTGTGGGGCCTTGCGGGTGTATTAACACTCTATTCACTTTGTCAGTTTGTACAACCTGATTTCTCTTCTTTTCTACCAATTCTCTACTGACATATTCATCTGTTAACAAAGCATGTTCTTACTTAAAAGCTGACAAGTATACTTAGCCGGTTTATCTGTTACTACCAAAAAAAGAGAGGTTGATCTATGTAGATGTATAACTCTATGCCATCTTATGCTGTGTTTTCTTGTTATACTACCTTTATCATTTGCTATACTGTATAAATCACATGCCTCAATAAAAGAAATAATTATAAAAAAAAACTAGAAAAGCTACAATTTCTGGGGAAATCGTGTGAAGTGTTCTTGCCACCACCAGTAGTCTACAACTGGAGTGGGCGGAGTAACTGTTATCATTTATATAGCACATTTAATTGCAACGTTGTTGCACAGTTACATTAAACCATACATTTATAAAAACATTAGCAGGTGTTCAAAAGGCCCTGTCTATGACATCACTTGCTGCTGCAGCCTGGCACAGGTCAGAGTATTTTGGCGGTTGCCATCTTCAAAAACTATCAATCCTACAGCGAAGAGCTTTATATTGTGAGAATCACAAGACCCAGACCTACATTTTGATGCATAGTATGTCTCTGAAGTATTAAAAATGAAGGCACAGTCGCAGTTTAGAAATTGCACTTCAAATTTGAGCTTTGCAGAGTGAAGTTTCAATGAATGTCAATGGACGGCGTTAGTTGCAAACAAATGATTATATTGTGAAAACTATCAGGACTATGGCTTAGCCGTTGACATGTTTAGTGGCAGCAGGGATAGCTGAACGTTTTGATATAAGATTTGTGTAGGTGAGCCTGAAAATAAGGGAGTGGTGGCAGTTTAGAAATCATGTCCTGATTTTTCAGCTTTTGCCAGCTCCCACTCTAGCTTTGCCATTCATTCCTATGGGACAAATTTCGCCACAAGAACGACGATATTCCGTGAACCATTCGGCGAAACGTTCCACAAAGTAATAGCAATCCGATCGGGAACAATCTGCACGTTTTGGTATATTTTTGTCTGTGTAGTGTAAAAACTGTGGGAGGAGTTAGGGTGGCAAATTTGGCTATAATAAGAATAAGAATATATATGTGAGATAACATTAAGTGCTATGCAAGAACACTTAAAAAGTGTGGGTCACCTATGTGTGTATATATATATATATCTCGATTACTGCTACATATATATGCATTTCTGGGACCCTGCTACCTTGTCCTGTGGAGAGGGGGCCCAGAAGTCTGATGTTTCTCTCCTGCAGCTTCAAGGAAACATCAGATTCTGGGCCCCCTCTCCACAGGGCACAGTAAATGTGCCACTGGACCACCATGGAAACTACTCTCTCCCTCCCTGACCACGGGTAAGAGGCAGGGAGGGGGGAAATACACCAAATCATACTTTAAAAAAAATAATCACCCTCACAAGACACTGCATCCACTACACACAGACACTGCATCTACTACACACACTACACACAGACACTACATGCACTACACACACTACACACAGACACTACATGCACTACACACAGACACTGCAAACACTAAATGCACTACACACAGACACTGCACACACTATACACTGCATACACTACACACAGACACTACATGCACTACACACACTACACACAGACAATACATGCACTACACACTGACACTGCATACACTAAATGCACTACACACAGACACTGCATCCACTACACACAGTACACACAGACACTACATGCACTACACACAGACACTGCATTCACTAAATGCACTGCACACAGACAGTGCATCCACTACACACATTACACAGTCACTACATGCACTACATACAGGCACTGCATACACTACATACACTAAACTCAGACACTGCATACACTAAATGCACTACACACAGACACTGCATACACTACACACACTACACACAGACACTACATGCACTACACATAGACACTGCATCCACTACATGCACTACACACAGACACTGCATCCACTATATGCACTACATGCACTACACATAGACACTGCATACACTACATGCACTACTCACACTACACACCCTACATGCATACACTACACACTATACATGCAGTACACACAGACACTGTATCCACTACACGTACCAGATGCACTACACACCGACACTGCAACCACTACATGCACTACACACAGGCACTGTATTCACTACACACACTACATGCACTACACACAGTCACTGCATTCATTACCTGCACTACACACAGACACTGCATCCACTACATACACTACACACAGACACTGCATCCAGTACACACACTACATGCATCCAGTACACTTTACACAATACACAAACACAGACACTGCACACACTACACTGCTTCAACTACACAGAGACAATGCACCCACTACACAGACACTGCACCCACTACACAAACACTGACACTGCACCCACTCCACAATAAATACAGTAAATCATACTTTAAAAAAAACGAATCACCCTCGCAAGACACTGCATCCACTACACACACTACATGCATCCAGTACACTTTACACAGTACACAAACACAGACACTGCTCACACTACACAGACACTGCACCCACTACACAAACACTGACACTGCACCCACTACACAATATTTACTACAAAGAAACTGCATGCACAGCACTGCATCCACACATACACTTAATCCACTACACACACACACACACTCTCTCTCTCTCTGTATCCACTATACACATGCATCCAATGCATTCACTATACGCACTGCATACAATACACACACTGTATCTCCTGGGGGGGGGGGCAGTATTTCATCCTTCGACCCAGGCAGCGCAATGTCTTGGGCCCGCACTGATCAAGTCATTATGACCTGAAAAGTCCATCTTAAAGCTGAGCCGTAATCTACATATTGGGAGAATACAAATGGAAAAAACTGAATAAAATGATGGGTAGGTGGGTGGGAAGATGGATGGATAGAGACAGGAAATAATGGATGAATCTATGCACACTTAGATGGCACTAATTTAAGTGTTATTCAAAGGATACATGTTACAATCTCATTAAAGGAGCAGTCCCACGCCCTTAATAACTTAAAGGAACACTATAGTCACCTAAATTACTTTAGCTAAATAAAGCAGTTTTAGTGTATAGATCATTCCCCTGCAATTTCACTGCTCAATTCACTGTCATTTAGGAGTTAAATCACTTTGTTTCTGTTTATGCAGCCCTAGCCACACCTCCCCTGGCTATGATTGACAGAGCCTGCATGAAAAAAAAACTGGTTTCACTTTCAAACAGATGTAATTTACCTTAAATAATTGTATCTCAATCTCTAAATTGAACTTTAATCACATACAGGAGGCTCTTGCAGGGTCTAGCAAGCTATTAACATAGCAGGGGATAAGAAAATCTTAATTAAACAGAACTTGCAATAAAGAAAGCCTAAATAGGGCTCTCTTTACAGGAAGTGTTTATGGAAGGCTGTGCAAGTCACATGCAGGGAGGTGTGACTAGGGTTCATAAACAAAGGGATTTAACTCCTAAATGGCAGAGGATTGAGCAGTGAGACTGCAGGGGAATGTTCTATACACCAAAACTGCTTCATAAAGCTAAAGTTGTTCAGGTGACTATAGTGTCCCTTTAAGCTCATTCAAGTTGTTATCGTGCAGGTGTGTTTGGGCACCATCTTACCTTCAAATTAGGTTTTGCAACAGTTTAAACCCAAGGCACCTCTGCCCCTCGGTCAGCTTCCGCCTTGTGCGGCAGTATAAGGAAGAAAGGTTTAGCTGGGTGATTGCAGATATTAAGAGAGCCACATACTGTCACTGGGAGTCTATTGAGAGACATAGTATGTATTCAAAGGAAAAATATATCATTAATAGTGGAAAACTGTATTTCTAACGCTATAGTGTCCATGTCTCTAACTTAATAGGCTCCCCTGGCGCTTGCTAGGGCTCCTCCTCATGCGATGTAACTGCAGCGAGGAGACCTAATGTGTATGTCTGATGATCGCCGCACATTAAAGTTTCCCCATAGGAAAGTATTGAATCTTTGCTTTCCTATAGGGAATTTGAAGACGTTAGACTTCCTCATGCAAAGCGTAAGAACATCCAAAATCATTTAACTCCATTAGGGACCGGAAGCACCTCTAGAGGCTGTCTGAAAGGCATTTTCTGAAAAATTGCAATATTTTGCATTGCAGGGTTAAGACAGGGACACTGCACCCAGACCACTTCAATAAGTAAAGTGGTCTTGGTGCCTATAGTGTCCGAAGGGGCAGGCATGGAGAGGAGCAAAGTTTGAATCTTCTTTTTTCTTAATGTCTAGCGTTCTGTGAAAATGACTTCACAGACGCCGTTATATATTTATATATTCAACCGCATTGCCTGTACAAAGTTTTGCTCAATGGGCAAATGGGCACAAGCATGTGCCTTTGCCTGTTCATGCTGCAGGAGAATGCAATGGGTTTACAGACATACACTATATATTAGCGAAAGTGGATGGACAGACAGTTGGATGGACAAACGAGCAAAGAGATGGGGAGACAGATAGATAGCAGTCAGACAGACAGATGGATGACAGATCTAGATAAACTATTAGCACACAGCAGTACCTACATTTGCTGCTCACTGTCTCACACTATAAACTCTCACCTAAGTCTAAACCAACCCCCATCACACTCAGCCAAACAGCATCCCTAGCAGCAAGCCATGGCCTACCCGTGTGCCCAGAGTGTATGTGTGTGTGTGTGTGTGTGTGTAAATCACAGTGTGTCAGTGTATTTCCACTCTGCATAAACATGCATTGGATTACACCCTGAGAAGGCCGGCTCGGGTTTTACTGGCGGCTCAAGGCTGTGACGTCTCGGTGGGGTGGAACAGACTGAGGATGAGGACTGGAAAGGTTTTTAACAGAAAGCTTGCCGAGAGGATATGTGAATGTGCGGCAGAGAGCAGCCTGCTAGAAGGCGGAAAGTCAGTGACTCCCACCTCCTCTTCCAGCAGCAGAACTCCAGGGCTGCCTGGCCAGGGATCCTCAGACACCTAGCCTCACACCATGGGGACAGTAAGGATGGCTGCAGTTTGGGATTATTATAGAGCACACAGAAATCATTGCACTGTACGGCCATGGGCAGGTAATTATTAATACCTTATTTATTATTTTAACCCCCTCCAGCCCATCCCACCCCCCCTTTACACAAGCACACCCCCTCCAGAACAGGGTGTACTGTTACATGGAGATCTAGATCTTGATGGTGGTGCATGGGGTCCCCTCTTGGTCTACAGGCAAATGGCAAGGCGTTCTCAACATATGACATGTTGCTCTATAGGGTTAATCTGTAGGGCTCTCAATCGGATTTACACAAACCTCTTGGCTCCAGAGGAATTTGCTACGTGATCTAAACAGGGGATCTTATCCCACAAAGGGAGCATTTATTGCATTTGGCTTTCTCAGAGGTTATAATGCATTTATTTAATAATTTACATTATTAGCTGACCCATATCCATCATTTTAGCCGCTCCTTGTCCACGCTGTGTGACATATGTTTGTGATCTTAGAATGTTGGGGTTAGCCCATGAGTTACATTGTTACTTACTGGATATATGGTATAATCCTGTCACTGGTAATGCTAGTGTGTGTGTGTGTGTGTGTGTGTGTGTGTGTGTATATGTATGTGTGTATGTATGTATATATATATATATATATATACACACACACACACACACACTTTTATTTTAATACCAAATAAAAAACAGATTTAGAATTTTTTTAATTTGTATTGAAATAAAGTCAGAAGTATTAATGCTGTCTTGGCTAGTCTATATGAGAAAGTCAGATAATTGCCTTTAAGTGGTAGCAACTTATCCTCCTTTGATAGCCCTGCCAGTTGCAGAAATCTCTGCCCTGTACTTTTATTAAGAGGTGGCCATTTGATAGCCATGTCTACAGAGAATTCATTTGTCACTGCATTTATTATATTTTCCCTGATGTATATGTTCTCTGTATAATCTTTACTGGTATGTGCTTTTTGCAGGATATGTATTTGTGGTAAGCTTGTTTGAGCAGTGTCCTCATTAACCTATTATTTCTTTAACATTTTGTAATTTGTCTTATTTATTGCTAAACTTCCCCTTTATAATATTGTAAAGCGCTGCGGAATAAGTTGGCGCTATATAAATGCCGATGATAATAAGTATCATTTAAGTAGTATCTGCAGGTATAAGTGCTTATTCAGAGCTTATAACATTGTGCATTATTCGTACGAAATGATTCTTATTGGCCTTGATGTATTTTGACATAAGCAAAGGAAATCTATATTTTGAGAACACGATGATACGCCCATTTATCATATCAGTACACCACCAGCTGCCCAAGTAGAGTGGGTATATTGGGATTTAATGAGAGTGTGTTAATACTGTAAATATATAGACACGGCAAGATTTGATTTTTATTAATGCAGTTTTACATTGCATGGTTTGAATTAAGCAGAAATACTTATAAATATTACAGGCGTTATAATGTATAAGCACCAACATATACAGTAGAACTGTGCAAAGGATATGCAAACAAATTTTCCCAAATATAACGTGATTTACTAGTGTATGCCATTCCACTATTTTAAGTATTGAATTGTGTTTTATCTGTAACTAAGTTGGGGATTTTATTTCCAAATCTGCTATTTTTATTTATTTTTTACCCAAAGTTTGCCATTTGGTGTCTTATACACTGTTTACTTATTTAAAACTCATGTGCAATCCAAGTTCTCGGACCAGAACACAGAACTAGTTCAGCAAGGGGTGCCATACTCCCAAAATGCATAGGAAACCAATTAGCGCCCTCAGGTGTGTAAAGCCATACTTCATTGGAAGATCTAACATTAGATTGCATTAAAGTCAAGGAATTAGCGTAAAACGTAGATTTTGCCCCATACATCTATTTTATTTTACTTTTCATCACTTGTTCTTTAGTTAATAAGCCCCTTTATGTATATGTGTGGCACACTCCCCCTTTTAGCTCTCTACATTTCCTGTCTTGCAGAGGCCACACATTCCCCTTTTATGTATTTAAAGAAAATACGTCAATGGGTTCTGCCTTATAAGCCGTATCCCCTAAATAATAAGAATTACTGTATAGCCGTGATAAATAAGTTCTATGGGCTAATAGTGGCGTGAAGCGCAGCGTCCTGTCATCAGGATGCTAAAACTCAAGATTATGTCTGTCTGCTGTTTAACTCTCATCACATAACGCCATAAAAAAAAAAAAAAATCAGGGAAATACCTATCCTTTGGAACTCCAGCTGCAGTTCACTATTAACATGTTTATCTATTTAACAGGCAATCACTCTAGAAAAGGGTTATTGAAACTATGCTACTCGGGATTCTGTAAAGAATGACATCCTTTATGTTTAGCCATCCAGCTGCGTTAGGAAAACCCTACACAGCTGGGAGAATTGACCATTGGCCCTCCAGCTGCTGTAAGCTATGACTCCCATTACAAGCAGTCATTGCACAGCTTAGAGCAGATCCAGCAGAGCAGGTATTGCCTCAACAGGTAGATTGCTGTGGTTCTCCCGCAGCCTGAGTGCCAGAACATTGCCTATCCCATTTCTGGATACTTGGCAAACTTTATTTTCAGCGAAAAAGTCTTAACTCCACCCTCCGCCACAAAACAAACACTCTGTATTGATTTTGCGATGGCATTGGCATGAAATTCTAGCTAGTTTGTGTTCCTGTTTGCATCTGTCAGGTCTCGGCAGGCAGGACTTGGTGACAGAATTCAGAGCTCTGGAAATCTAGTTCAGCTGTTCCTGCAGCTCCCAGTCAGGTGCCAACCCTATTGAGTAACAGAGGAGGGTGTGACTCCTGTTTGGCCATGTGGAGTCGCTGTAGGACCCTTATTCTCATTTTACTAGTCTGTTAACCCCTTGAGTACCAGAAAGATAAAGCAATACTTCCAATACGTTTGCCCACAACTCTTGACAATTGTCCCCCATAACTCAGGTACTTGGCAAGTGCATCCACCTGTTCTTTGTTGGACTACAAATATTAACATGGTTAGCCACATATTGAGGAGATTATAAAATGTTTTTTGGCACCGAACCTAGAGGTTATCTACATGTTTAGGGTTTTTTCCAACTCTTTAACCCCTTAAGGACCAAACTTCTGGAATAAAAGGGAATCATGACATGTCACATGTGTCTTTAAGGGGTTAATCTCACCTTTTTAACAACCATTTGGGAATATTTGTAACACATTGAAAAGTGGATGGATGTTCTCTTCAGTCCTTGAATTTTGCGTTAACCTTTTCAATCTTAGGAAAGGCATTTGCTCTGCTTTGTTATTCGGGGAAGAGGTCAGCTAGTTAGCCATATCTGGTTACAGATCAACTAGTGATACGCATGATGGATGTGCGCCAAAGGAAATAAACACTGAGTTCCAAATGTAGCTGGCACTGAGAGCCTGCTAAATGCCAAATGGTGCAGCAAGCCAGGTACTTTACCAGGATCTGTTATATGAAAAGACAGAGTGCTCTGCAATAATGTATTAGTACCAGTGCTGCAATTTTGGACAATGTTTTGGTCCAAAGTGGTCCTTTTTTTTTTTTTTTTTCAAACATAAACTTTTATAGTCCGCTCTATATATTTGCCATGTTCAGATTGTATTTGGCTTTGTCTCTCCAGTGTTTAAGCAGGTTAAATCCATGTGTGTCTATAAAATATTGCTCAGCTCTTTGATTCTCATTAAGAGGGTATCATTGAATTGAAAAGGGCAAAAAAATTGAGCCTGCAGTTTCTGAAGAGAAGGATACTATGTCTGTGACAGTGACCGACAAACGTGATGGTGATAAAGTGTTGAAATCTATTTACTAAAATATTAACTGAAGAACAGACATGCAAAATTTAGCTCTGAATAAGAAATGTGCACAACCTATTTTTATAAAAATATTTTTCCTGCTTAATTAATTTGTCCACAATTTGGAAACTTTGTTCTGAACATGAAATTGTAGGCTGGATGTGACCCCATTTGTTATTGCATTGTGTGTGTGTATATATTTGTTAAAGTTCCTTCATCTGCTGTATTTGCACAGACATATAGCAACAAACAAGCTCTGCCAGACCAGGAAGAAGACCCTCATTCTAGCTTATGGGAACTAATTTTATCCCACAAATTTACCCAATAGATTTTAATGGGATAAGCGGTTCCATCCATCAAATGCATGGTAGAACTGCTGAATAATCTTGGAGCAACCCTACCTTGTTTTAGATTACTGACAGTCCTTTTCACAAGGCTATACACAACATTCTCTTGTTTCATAGCTAAGAATTTCTGCAGTTAGGTACAGGGGCCATAATGTCTTTGCAGAGCAATTGCTTTGAAGCAAAATTGTCAGTAGTGCGATTTATGCAAAGGAGAGTTTATCAAAAGGTTGCTATTGTTTATTTTTAAAATTCTCACTAGATTATTTTTTATTTACATGACTTGTCTGGTTGCCAGAGCATGTAAATTAAACTAACCCCAGCACACACATGCACAATTTCACATAGTCATACTGAAGGAATGTCCTGAGTCGCATGTGATTCTGCAATATATTACTGTAGATACCCAAGCGCGTATAAGCATTAGGTGTCATGGGGCTGCATAATCAACCTGAAAACAAAAGTGGGGTTTAGGTAAGTGTGTGTGTGTGTGTGTGTGTTTTGTTTTTTGTTTTTACTTACCTGTCATGCATTATTTAACTCAGTAAAGACTACAGTAATTTTTATATCGCCATTGGCAGAGAACAAAGTACAGTCTCATCCAGACAAGTGACCGTTCCGTTTTTAAGTCATCCCAAAGTTTAGTAAGTAGAACCACGTAACAATATTCTAGAATACTTAGGATATGCTTCACGCAAGAAGAAAAGTTAAATCTGTGCATTGAAGAAAACTGCCAACTGGTTCTTATCAGCCTTCATAATCTAAGCATCTGGGTTCCAAAAAATTCTCTATGTGGGGCTGAATATTTATCAAAAGCTGTCAGCTGTAGCTATGAGTTAGTGTAGGGTAGACCATTAGCGTGAGCCATACTAATTTAACTCTTTATCCCCACCCTCCCATGAAACTGTTAGAGCCAGGATGCAAAGCTACAGCTTTTTAAACTGCAACTCATGAAATCCTTTTGCTGCCTTTACCCAAACACAGCCTGGAGATAATGAGAGTTGCCTTTTACTCAAATCTGGCACACTCTATTGGTCATACATCATATGGAATTAATGATTTATAAAGCGTGCTTGTGTTGCTTAAAGATATGCCGATTCCACGGTTTGAATTTTGAGCTCTGAGTGCTATGGTTATAACTGCAACAGTGGCTAGTAGAAAGAGCGGTCTATTTACTTTAACATGCTCAGCATGTACATGCTTACTTTTTCAGCTAGTGGTACCCAGACTGTCTCTTAACCAGCTGAAGAATCAAAGCACTTTCATTTTATTTCTATACATCCAGCTATGTTCCTGAGAGTCATTACAGTTGTACTCCAGTAACCGCTATCTGTTGGGTGACCGCACAGAATAGATATTTTTGGTACTTGCTACATTAATTGTTTTAGTCTTAGGATCCATGTATATACAATGCAAAATAAATGATTAAGTGTTCTGATTCCTAAGAGCTGACGATATTGGGGTTGGGAAGCAAGGATTGAAAAGAAGAATGTACTGTGCTTTTAAAAAGTAATGTGCTGAATATAAATGCTCACTGGAGTACATTTTAAAACCTTTCTGCAGATTTGCACTAATGCACATCTGTACTGGATAATTCGCAATAACCCTTCCTTGTCTCCCAGGTATATATGATTTGCGATTGCTTAACATTTGCAGTCATCATAGCAAAGGGTTCTCCAAAGAATGAGAAGGAGGGAACACCTCCCAAAAATGTTTTTATTAACAACCCTGCATTTTTAAATATTTACACGTTGTCCTGGGGGGTGGGGAATAGGTAAAGTCTCAAACAGGTAAATGTAAAAATGCAACGCAAAAAACATCACACTTGCATTTATTCAGTTAACATTTTGTGTGCAGTTGTATAACACTCAAAGGGTTTAACCAATTATGTTCTTTAGTTGGCCACCCCTGCCTCAGTGTGAACAAGTGAGAACTTAACTATTTTGTAATCATTATTTGTAGTGTTGAAAATTAACTTTGAATACATGTTGCTACCTATGCACTAAGGAGAATACAATACCAAAGACACAAGTTTGGAGATTTCCTTTAGTTTGAAATGGAAGGAACTTTGTACTTTTTATAACCAAATACCCCAGATACCATGTTTCTCTCCAGCAAGCCCCCCCTATTAGTACAATTTACCAAGGAAGTACTGTACAATTCTGCAGAGCCTCCTAGTTTCAATAGAAGCAGCCTATGGGTGCTAAAAGATGAACCGTGGACAAAAATAGTTGTAACATCCCCTGGATGTTGGGTAAAAATAACATCCCCAGGTAAATACCTGGAAACCAGAGAATATCTGACTGTGCCTTTCCTAGTTAAACGCTTTATTATATATGATCTAGATCAGGGGTCCTCAAACTCCAGCCCCCCAGATGTTGCTGAACTACAACTCCCATGATTCTCTGGCTATCTATGTAATTCAAAGAATCATCAGAGTTGTCGTTCAGCAACATCTGGGGGGCCGCAGTTTAAGGACCCCTGTTCTAGATTGATGCTATGCATTGTGTTGCATATGTATATGGTCCTGACAGAGTTAAGCCGCCCTACAGCCACAGCAAGGGCTGCGTAAGAAGAACTTGAATCATTATTTACTAAACTGAGAGTTGCCAAGAATTCTATATGAATTCAAATCAAATTTTAAATATAAGGCCAAAAGAACCAAACTGAGAACATACGTTTTCAAGTTAGGCTGTTTTTGTCCTAAATTTTGAAATTCACTTTGAATTCCCAGCAATTCTCACTTTAGTAATTAATAACCTTCTAATTATTAATCCCAATCTGTGTTCCTGTTTAGTGTAGTGGATAGTGAAGTGTTGCAAAAAAAATACTCGTCAACTTTTGTGTGGCCCTACCCACCACCCTGAGGTGGTATGACTATATTACTAATTACACAAGACTATTATAAGAATCTTCCGTAACCTGGGAAAATTACAGTATGTCTGTTTATTATTCACAGAACCTAAGAAAAAAATTCTCATGTAACTTTTTTTTTGTTAAACATATGTTCTAACATACTGTGCGAACGCGTGTGTATATACATATTTTACGGTTTAAAAAACGTTTTCTCTTTTCATCACTATGCTTTCATGACCTCTAATATGTTATTTATGTATACGTATGAGTATAATTAATATAGATACCCTGAGATAGCGCAATAATGAAGAATTGTAGTATGATTTCTGTGACCTTCCCTATACTTTTAATGTGTGTGTTTAGTTAAATGTGCCCATAAAATGTGTCAGTAAACACACATTATTTATATATTTATTTGCAGTAGGTGTTTTACCAATAATGAATCCTTATTCTTTTAACAAAAGCAAAAATATTTTTAAAGAAACTGTGATATTTCAATAATTTTTTTTTATTTTTTTTTAAATCAGGTTTGTATGTTTTACATTGTTTTTGTAGGACCAGAGCTCCCTCTGCTGCTCGTTTGCTTCCAGTTCATACTAATTATTCTGTATACATCTTTTAATTGAATTATTTGCATAGTGTTTTGAATGCAGGAACAGGAGGCAAATGTGATCACAAATTTGAATTTGCAAGTAATTTTTGACCATGGAAAAAAATGTGTAAGATGTTTGAGAAAACAACATTTTCTATTAGACGATTACCAGTCCAATGGACACTTAAATTGAGTTGACACATTTATAAATGTACTTGACTAAAGGGAGACGTTGTCACCTTGTATTAATACTAATGTGTAGTTACGTAGATGAATTTGGATTTTAACCCAAGGCATCATAGTAACCGAATACTTTATCGAATGTTAAAAGAATATTGATATTTACATAGTTATGTTTGAAAACACCTTTCCGTGTTCATTGTCTGATTTCTGCCTAGCTGATTTTGTATTCTAAAGAGGTCTGTGTTAATCTAAGATCCAATAACATGTTATCCTGTAATAGCAGCATCTAATATTGGCATAAAACATTTGGCAATATAAAGTGTGCCGCCATTTTGTTCTCTGCATGGGAGTAGTCAAACTTTATAACACAGCATGCGTGTTCTCCAGGTAATTGAAAGTTCCATTGCAACTTTGATTTTGTATGGAATTATTTGAGAATGCTGTAAGTCCCCTGTTATACTATAATATTTGTATAATAACAAAGTTTCGTCTTGCTGGTAATTTCCATTGTTTGGCTGGGGCACTCCCTGTTAATGAAAGGCAAACCCTGCCCTAGTAGGCTGTCATTCAGGGGTCTGTAAAATGCTTGTATGTTAATGCAGTTGGGTTAATGAAGTTGGGTTATTCTAAATTTGTTTCTATCAAAGTAACAAAAGTATTAATAAACATTTCCCGTCACTTTTTGTTTTCACTAGTTGAAGTTTTTATTGGCCTGCAGGCAGGGTCGATCATTCCCTCGATAAGAGTACGTTTTATATGCTGCTCTGCTTGTGTGTGTGTGTGTGTGTGTGTATACGTATATTTTATTTTGACATTTTATTAAGGTTTACAGCAGTGTCATGACAAGAGATACAAAATGAAGAAAAATAAAACCATTTGTTCAATATAATCTTTCAATAATATCATCACACTAACACATCCTCATATAACAAGCACATAAGAAAGATACATATGTATACAAAAATCTGCACACCAGTCAAGCCATAAGACTTGCTTTTCCCACAGAAATCCCAAAACTGCAGCGATGTTACAACCGCAAAGGATTCTGGGTGGGCATATGCAAATTGGTTTAAAAAAGAATCACAGTCTTATGGCTTGACTGGTGTGCAGATTTTTGTTTAACATTGTATTAACTATCCACAGACTTCAGGTGGAAGGGGTTTTCAATCACAATTTTTCTTCACCATAACCTTTTTGGAGATATGGAGATATATATACGTAATTAACGTATAGTTATAAAAATAATATCTCTCGAGATATATAATATATCTCGAGAGATATTATTTTTATAACTATACGTTAATTACGTAATTCAGCTCTTGTACATGCCCATTTTCAAAAAAAATTTTATCTCCATAAAACAAACTGCAAAAAGAAAAATGTACAAAAAAGAAACTGTGTGTGTATGTTTTATTTTAAACAGCCACTCCAAAACTGTGATCCGTTCACTTAACAGTGAATAGTGGTGAATTAAAGTTACAAATGTATATCTTAAGTAGCTAAGTGGGGGGGGGAAAACAAATGCATTAGAGAATTTCTATACTATAACTGTTTTGGCATATGTTTTGCAATTTGCAGTGACTCACAGCTATGGTGACCATATGTTTTGTGGAATGGAGGGATGGTTAGGCAGAGAGCAGAAGGTATAGTAAAGGGAGGCATAAAAATAATTAATATCCTATAAGTTTGCTTTTGCTTGCTTGTTTTAGATCGTAAGCTTGTTTGGGCAGGCTCCTCTTCCCCTACTATTCCAGTACGTGAATCATTTTTCTTTTTTTTTTTTTACAATCACGTGTTTTGTTTTTTTTACTTACTATACAGTGGAATTTGTTGGTGTTATATAAATAATTATAATTGTAGTTTTGTTTTTGAGCACTTTCACCAATTATGGCCCTCATAACTGTTTACTTTTTCTTCCAAAAGCAAGTATTTTGGTTCACCCAGCAGCTTGAAAACTGTACTTTGTTATTCCACAATGGGAGCACAGGATGGAATTCTGAACTTGGAATTTGACTAATGCCTGCTTTGTCTATAGCAGACAGCTGTGAACATTCCAAGGCAGGAATTTTACAAAATCTTTAGTCTTTACATCTCCCTACACCTTTTTTATTTTTTTATTTTTTTCAACAGCCACATTTTCTTTAGCACGTAAAGTGGATAAACATTGCAAGCAAGAAAAGAACATTAGTGTAAACTGATGCATGTTATGAAGTTTAGGGGTTTTATCTAAATCCTTGAGTGAAAAAAAAAAATAATGTGTTAAGAGCATTTTAGTAAAACAAAGACTCATTTTTTGAGTCTGAAATGCCATTGTATCACATGTTCCTTCTGCAGATAATCCTGACGCAGTGGTAGAGACAGGTTTTCCTTCTTGTTCGGTATACTCTAGCTTTGTCTTAGAGAACCTCTGCTTTAGTATGTATCTAGATAGTTCTAGAAGATCTTCGTCAAGTCTAGAAAGATCACAAAGAAAGTTCAGATTCCTTCTCCCTGCTCTAAGCCCTGAAGTAGCAGCTCAGAAATGTGTTCACATGTCTTCTGCCATTAGGTTGTGGAAGTAGCCAGAAGTGTGATGAGGCTAATATATTTTTTTTTGAAAATGGCAAGTAATTTGCAGACTAAATAATGCTATCCAGTAAAAGAGGTGTAGATGCCCCTGCTCAAATGAGCTTCTGTAAGTCATAAATGTTGTGAACACCAGAGTACATGTGTTAACCCCTTAAGGACCAAACTTCTGGAATAAAAGGGAATCATGACATGTCATGTGTCCTTAAGGGGTTAAAGGACCACTATAGTGCCAGGAAAACATACTCGTTTTCCTGGCACTATAGTGCCCTGAGGGTGCCCCCACCCTCAGGGCCCCCCTCCCGCCCGGCTCTAGAAGGAGGAAAGGGGTTAAACTTACCTTTTTCCAGCGCAGGGCGGGGAGCTCTCCTCATCCGCCCCGTCGGCTGAATGCGCAAGAGCTGCGTACGCATTCAGCCGGTCGCATAGGAAAGCATTATCAATGCTTTCCTATGGACACTTGCCTGCTCTCACTGTGATTTTCACAGTGAGAAGCACGCAAGCGCCTCTAGCGGCTGTCAATGAGACAGCCGCTAGAGGCTTTGGGGGAAGGCTTAACCCATTCATAAACTGCTATGTTTATAAAAGAATGGGTTAACCCTAGCTGGCCTGGCACCCAGACCACTTAATTAAGCTGAAGTGGTCTGGGTGCCTAGAGTGGTCCTTTTAAGCTGTCCCAGGGGCCAGCATTTAATAATTTAGGCTTTGACATGCCTGTGCATGATCAGCAGCCTTCTCACTCAGTCGCTATAATCCACACTTGGGGCTGACGTTATGACCGCACACCAGGGCTGTTGTTCAGGCTATTCTTATAATTAATATTTATTATTTATATACCACCAGCAGTTTAATTGATACACTTTCCTGAAGAAGTGAGTTGTCAATGACTTTGAAGGAATGGAGGCTGGGTAAAGCCTAACGGAGAAGGGAAGGGAGTTCCACAGAAAAGGTGCAGCTGTGGAAAAAGTCTTGAAGATGAGCATCAGAGGTGGGAGTACAGACAGTGGATAGACATAGGTCTTTGGCAGAGCGCAGATGCCTAGACGGGACAGATTTGTGTATTAGGAAGGTAAGAGCAGCATTATGTAGAGACTTATAAGCAAGCACCAGAATCTTAGATTGAGCCCTATATCTTACGGGTAGCCAATGTAGGAACTGACAGAGAGGCGAGGTGCGGGCGTACATGATCAGCCTTGTTGCTGCATTCATTATAGATTGCAACGGTGCAAGCTCTGAACACGTAAGACTTCTAAAACTTGGTTCTAGATTATCTTCAGTGTTTAGCTGATATTATGCATTTGGTTTTATATTAATGGGATCTATATTCTATTCTAGCATGTTATTTTAGTGTAAATATTTGTTGCACTGTTCACCATTGACTTGCATAATGGTATATTAATTAAATCTTACGTATTGGTAGATAACCAATTCCACTACCTGACAGTGTAATCTGTGAGTTTCATACTGTCCTGTAAATATAAATTATGCTATTTCAATAGGTACACATCAAGAACACATCTTTACTAGTGTTCACTTTACAGCTTATTACTAGAAAATGCATCTTAAAATGCTTAATTAAACCATTCAGTGTTAAACAGATTGGTCACACACACCAATCACTGCTCTGGTACTCAAAGGGTAAACCGTACTCTGACACTGATCTGCCTGTTTATGATGGCAGTGAATGCAGATGGGTGACCCAGTTTGCTGGAAATAGCAGGGGACTGTTAAAAACCAGGGCACAATTTTTCATCGCGCAATGTAGAAAGAGGATGACTTACTCATACCTAAAAAGTTTTTAGGCTGCGCATACAACTGGAACGTAATTCCTTTGATTTGGCAACATACTACATCATTTTAAGAAATATGTATTGTGAAAGCGGATATGAGCCAACACCTTTATTGAGTATACTTGGAAATAAATATCACGTACACCTCCCAATGTTGGGAAGTAAGAAAGAGGACAGTAGTATAACTTGTGACTCTGATGATGCATGATGGCATGCCACCACTCCAGCCATTTCAATGCACATGCCCAGAGGTTGACTTGTGGCCATGCTAAACTGGTCATTAGACTTACCAATGCGCAAGTATTCCCATATAGGCAGAATGCTTGTGTATAACAACAAGCAAAGTAAATAATGCTTTCAAGCCAAACAAAATGGAAACAATTCATTGATCATCTTTTTTTATGGACACGGCTCCCAAATAAAAACATTCCTGCAGGATCCAGGAAAGGTCTGGAGCTTTATTTGTGCATGCGCACAATAGCCTTGTTTCAAAAACCTCTCCAGTTTCTGTCCACTATACCTTCTTGACAAAATAATTAAATATGTACTGTTGTTATTCCATTTGTCACTTGAATGGACCGTGAAACCAGTTTTAATCCTTGGTAAAGATAAAAAATCAAACTATTTTCTTTTTATTTTTTTTCCACCCATTGTATAATTGAAGCAAAAGGTGATTCACTTAACTGTTCGGGAAGTTCTAACTATTGAGTTCTAGATAGCTTCTACAAAAGTTGCTGTAATAATCACTGCATGGTTTGCTCTGATGTTCTAATTTATTAACCAGCCTCAGATGGAGAAGAGGGTCAGTGTAGTTGAATGTGCCCTCCAATGCTTTATCTTTGAGTGTAGGATTCAGCATTGAATACACCTAGGTAGTGCTCATTAATGATGGTTAATGATTATCCCCATTACATGGAAAGGAGTCGGGGGAGTAATCGACACTGCATGTACCTAGTCATGGTACTGTGACAAAACATAAGCCGAGAATAAAACTTGCCCAGTAAAGGACATTACTTTTAGACATGCTGTCTAATATAACGAAATCCATGAGTTTAAATTAAAAATGTATTGTGGCCTTCTGTTGTTTTTATAAAAATGTATTCTATACTGCGCTATTTAATTCTGTTTGGAAAACCAAAACATTTGTCTTTCATTCGAAACCTCTTAATGACAGTTGACATGCTATAACCTTCATGATGGCATTATATTTGCCCAACCTCTTGAATGGGTTCAGTTCCTTTTATTGTTTGTGCCCGCATCCCTCTTACCAGAACTCTGATTCTATGCAGAGATATCATGCACAGAGTAGTCACTTATCATTAGTCTATCCTTCAGTTTCAATGGATGCCTTTTGTTTTTCTATTTTTTTTTTTTTTATTATTAAATCTTTCTTCTTTTTTGAGCTATGTTTAATGTTGTATAATTTTATATGAAGATCAGATTAAACAGAAATTTCTATGGAGTTTGTATTTTGATTACATTTTTCATAAGAGCAGTCCAACACACAGGGGAGAGAGAGAGAATTGTTTTTATTTATTTATATATATATATATATATATATATATATATATATATATATAATATTTATTTATTTTTAATGAAAATTTTCAATACTCATGCAGGAATTGCAGTGTTTTGCAATTCCTGATTTAATGAATAAACCCATTGTGTTTCTATTTATTTATTGTGGGCCAAACGATTGTTGTTCTATGCAGTCACCTGCCTTATGGCGGACCAGTTTGCTTGGTTAATTAAACTTGCTATGCCATCTAATTATTATATAATTACTGATATATTTAAAAAAAAATTAACATCCTTAATAAACTTATGTAAATTAATGTAGTCAAAGGATGGAGAAGGGTGTCCATGACTTGGAGTTTAAATTTAAACAACTTGGGTGTGGTGTTCTGGATGGTGGAAGAGTTGCCCGCCCTTGGCAGTCATGAGATTTGGGTGTAATGTAGTGGAAGAATTAAATTAATTATATTATAATGCACAGTGTAATAGATGTTTTGAGAGAGCGACTAAGGAATTTTTCATTATTTTATTTTTTGTATAACTTTTTCAAATGTGTGTGTTTTTGGGGGGAGGGTTGTGTTTTTATTTGAATTATTCATTTTTGGAAATAGTAAAATATGATCTAGAAAAATATTAAATTGTGAATTTCAAAAGCCTTTTCAAAATATTAATTTGAGGTCTATATTGGGATTTGGATTCTGGAAATTTCAGCATTTTGGCATCAAGGAAAAATGCAGAATGGGAAATCCTCCTATAAATTTCTGAAACTCCCCTATTCACCAATATCAGTCAGTTGGTCGGGTAATGGGAAGCCTCATTTCCTTATACTAGTCCTTTTATACATGGAATGAGCATAAACACCCAAGAGATTTATTTGACACATTGTAGGCTGTACACTTGTTTTTCTTTTTTTTTTAACAATCATTTTGCACTTGATCTGTAGATCAAACAACTGCCAGCAAATCTGTTCATTTGTTGATTCTGCAACTCGTACAGCGCACCATGCTGTATAGACAAATTATTTTATTTGTCATAATGCGAAAATGTTATTTTTCTAGTTTTGTTGTTTCCTTTTTTTTTTTTTATTAAAAAGGATTTGCAAAATTTAAATTCATTGAATATGTTTTTAAATAGTATATTTTGTGTGTGTGTTATTCCTTGCTTGTTTGAAATAAATGAAAACGATATCGCAGTTTTTAGGTTATTAATACACATACACTTATTGCAATTGTTTTGTCGAAAGGCATTGTCAGTTGAAAGGTGGGAGTTTATCTGGATTATGGAAAAAAACTTTTGTTTACTACAATCTCATTATTTTCAGATTTGAGTAGCATAAACATAAATTGTACCAACATCAAAAGAAGAATAGTGGCTGCATTGAAATGTTAAAAATGAAGCCCAATGCAGTCCACATAATATGAGAGATAACAAAAATATAATAAGACAAACTGAGAAGCAAAAAAAAAAAAAATCACCACAAACCAAAATGAAGAAGAAAGAAATGAAAAATTTAGACGAAAAAGATAAATTGTTAGGAAAATTAAAGGGACACTCCAGGCACCCAGACCACTTCTGCCCATTGGAGTGGTCTGGGTGCCAACTCCCTATACTCTTAACCCTGCAAATGTAATTATTGCAGTTTTTTATAAACTGCAATAATTACCTTGCAGGGTTAACTCCTCCTCTAGTGGCTGTCTACTAGACAGCCACTAGAGGGCACTTCCTGGTTTCTAGCTGTGTGAGGACCTCCAGCATCGTTCATTTCCCCATAGGAAAGCATTGAAATGCATTTCAATGCTTTCCTATGGGGAGCGCTAATGCGCATGTGCATTAGGTCTCCTCGGTCGGTGGGCGGGATAAGTCTCGCCCACCGGCCGACGCAGTCAGAAGGAGGAGCGGCGCGGAGGGAGAAGCAGCAACGAGGGACATCGTCACTGCCTCAGGTAAGTGACTGAAGGGGTTTTCACCCCTTTAGCAACCGGGGATTGGGGGGTAGGAGTGAGAGGGGACCTGCAGTGCCAGGAAAACGGATTGTTTTCCTGGCACTGGAGTTTCCCTTTAAATATAAAATTGGAACTAATTGAGGAGACTGGGCAGCATAGATAGCAGGAAAGTCTTGTTACCATGCATTTAGAAACTTTCTTTAAAGGGTTACTTCAACCACCATGACCACTTCTGCTTTTTGAAGCGGTCTTTGTGGTAGGAGTATGGGTGAGTAGTGTTTAAACTTGAAACATTGCATATACAGATATATTTTTGTAATTGTCTGATCGGGGAAACGTGTAGTAGGTGCTAATATGTTGCTAGACATAGGCTAATCATGCCGAGAGAGGCTAGGATGAAGCCCCTGAACACATTTTAATTTTAAAGTCAAGCTCGTTACCCCTGTCTAGACTAGGAGGGGGAAAATCGATTTCTTATTCCCTGGTGCTTGAGGGTGCCCTTACACTTGTAAACAGAAAACATAATAAACTTTGAAAGTGGGTAGTCCATGTTGAGAGTTCAACCCCTCTGTGTAGTTGCTGTACAATGATGTTGGTGCCCTACTGGGTGTTTGGAGTGGTTCCATGTTTCCCTACTTGCTACCATGGGGAAGCTTGTGGGTCTGGAAGCTAGACATATATAGCACTAGTCCTTGTGGCTGATAGGTTGCGGAATGCTCTAGGTTCAGACTACACCAGTCAGGTAAAGTCCCGATAGCCAAATAGTGTGTTCAGTAGGGGCACCTGCCCCGGTCTCCTCCATCCGTATGTCGGAGCTCAGTTTTTCTTTGTCGTTCGGCGTGGATATGGGAACGTGCTCTTCGTGATTTTTGTGCCGGGTGTTGGTGGAGGCTGGAGTGAGGCTGGCTTCGACCTGCGTTGTTTAGCAGTGATCCGGTGAGGTGTCGCACTGTTTTCTGCACCGTTTTCCGGCATGCCATTTTCGTCTTGTGCCGCTGATCTGTGTGCAAGAGGGCAGTGCTGTCGGTTAGTGCTCGACTTGGAGGTTTGTTGCAGCCTGTCTCTCATCTAGCTCGTGCCAGAAGGCCTCAAATAAGGCATCCAGCCTCTCCAGGATGTCAGCCCTTCTGTCATGATGAGTGACTCTGGGCCGGTCGCCACCATTTTTGGGCCGGATCAACTTGGCTTGGTTTGTTGCCCCGACACCTGATTGGGCCCTCCTGGGACCAGGATAACCCCCACCGGTCCATGGGGGGGGGGGACGTGGACCCAGATTCTAGCTGTTAGCCGTCGAGGGCGACGGTGGAATGGCCGCCTCCCCCCCGCCTGCCATGATGGTAGGCCTTGGTTTGCCATGCCAGGGTTCTTGCACTTGGTGCCACATGTTTGGTGTCAGCGTGTAGCCCCTGCCTTCAGCTCCTGGTTGGTGGTCCATTCAGCAAGTCTGGAGTCCGTTCAGAGCGTTTAAATCAGGAAAGTTTGCCACAAGGAGCAGCTCTAACCAGTGTCTGCTCAGCTCTGCGGTAAGGCCCCGCCCCAACCAAAGGCTTCTTAATCGGAAACCTTTAACTGGAACTTGGTGTGGTCCCTATAACATCAGATGGGTGCACAGGAGAGCTTCACCCAGCACTGGATTAAGGTAACTTAAACTTTAATTTTTTTAAAATTCTTTTTTTTTTTTTTTTTTTTGTAGAGGGGTTGATAGAATAATGTCAATAGGGTATTATTCTATCATTAGTGAAAGAGGGTTGGATAAACCCTTTAATTTTACTACAGTAGGATTTTTGATGTACCCGGTATTCCAGACCAGAACCGTTTTGTAAGCAGCATTTATTTATTTTCATTTTTAACACAAACTTCAGCTCGGTTTATTCACTGACACAGTAATTGTTGAGGGAATTACAAATTTTATGACAAAAATAGCTAAATTGCTTAATATTATTATTTTGACAGCTTTGCAAGATTAGTTTAGAATTTACAATTCTAGCAACAATGTTCACAGGAACCCTGCAAGTATCATTGTATAGGGTTATGGTGCTAGCAGGTTACTGGTGAAGCGTCAAACCGCTTTGGATGGTTCTAGGGAAAAAATCTCTGCATTCACTTGTGACCATGCCCCTCACTCACCATATTGCTAATGTTCCAGTTCCACATCAGCAGTACTTATTTTATCAACTTTTGGATGGCATGCACTGACTGAGCAGTTATTGTTACTACTTCTGCCAAAATGATTTTGGTTTTTAATTTTTTTTATTTTTTTTTTTTTTTTATATATGCCAAAGGAACTTATATCCTTACTGTGGGTCAAACATGGTCATTCATATAACCACAATATCTGAGCCAGGAATAGCTTTCTAAAACAATGGCTTCAGGGAAATTTCAGATGAGAGGTGACAAGAATACTCTGCCAAGAAAGGACATTATGTTTCGGAAGTAACACCTTGTAGGTTACAGGTTAAAACAGGATTATATTAACAATCGATAGGTTAGTCTAGTAAGATAAGAATTGAAGAAAAGGTCCTACTTTAGCACAAATCCAACTTGATCTGTGTGAATGTGGACATGAACGATAGGATTAAGGTGATTAATATGTAATATTGTAAACATCTTCACATCTACATTTTGAAAGAAACTTGATGTGTCATTTTTAAAAATAGCATTTTACGAAAATGTTGGCTGAAAGCATTTTGGATGGGAAAGAATCACTGTGTAAGATAATTCAGGATGTTTGGAAATGACAATTAGAAATGTCAGGGCTAAAAGTTAAAAATATAACAAACAGCTGATGCATTTCTCCGTTTTCTAACCAGAATGCATACTTGTTATCATAAGGGGTCCCAGTAGATCAATGGATCTAGTTGGCACACTCAGTTGGGCTGCATATTGGGGGAGTTGGGGGTGAATCTAGCATTAGGCTGCTCTCTTGTCACAGCAGTAATCTGTTAATATTGCTGTGGGACTGGCATATGTATTTATGTGCCAGAGCATTAACCGCTGCCTAGCCAGGACCCATCGCTCTTTGTGAGCCTCTGTGTAATAGTATAAGCAGGTGCCAGACATGGCACCAAGATGGTTAAATATGGCCTGATTTATTTGGAAGCAACCAGATTTTATATAAAGCAGTTATCCAGATGTCTCTCTTTAAACAGCCTCAGAATGTCCCTTAAAACCCCATCCCCAAGTGGTCCAAAATCTCTCCACAGTGATACAGTGGAGAGATTTCATTTTGGTGTTTTTTTTCTTCTCTCCGTGGAGCAAAAATTATTCCCTTAAAAGTGAGGCCCATAATGTTACATAATGCACTTTTCCCCTACAATGTAGCCTGCTGTTATTCCAGTCAGGAATGTGTTCCAACATTTAGGGGATGTAATCCAGTATATGTCAAAACAATTTTAAAATACAACACTGTTTACTACAAGAACAGTTTGAATGGAAAGCACTACTTTTTACTCTACTGAATTTATCAACTAGGGGAGAGAAGATTAAGACAGCCAGCAGCTGTATTCAACAACTACCAGAATGCTTAGCTGGCCACGTGGAGTTGTTGATGTCAATTAGAAATACTGTACCATAGGATCACCAGTGGGGCACCCCAAATCATTCTCTAGCAGAGGAAGGCAATCTTTGGCACTCCAAATGTTATGGACTAAATCTCCTCTGATGTGTTGCCAGAATTATGTCTTTAATAGGGGGATGTAGTCCACATCTGGAGTGCCAAACATTGCTTACCTCTGTATCTAGCACATGACTCTTTCATTTTGTTCAGCAAACTTTAACGGGTTCGTAGCAATAATTTGTAGAATATGTGACAGTTCATAACTTGTACAAAACTTGCCTTACACATAGTTTAATTAAAGGGATACTCCAGTTCCGTAAAGCACTTTAGCTTACTGAAGTGGGAAGAACCTCTGCATCTCTTCTTCCCGATGAGTAATGCCTATTTATCAAACCATGTTTCCATGTCCCTTTTTATATGCAGATATTATGGCCATTTGAAGTGACTCCACCATATTTTAGCACTTGTGAATCAGTTGATATAAATTAAATTTTTATCTTGCAAAATGGAGACCACTTTTGTTTTAGATAAAGCAGATGCATCTTCGTTCCTTATATTTGTTTTTCAATAAAGGACAGTAATACAAAAACATTTGACTTAATGTTTACGAACCCATTTTTTAAACGTTATGTACTTTGGGGTAAAGGGACTACGTGTCGTGCTTTGGAAATTAATGTGTCTGCCAAGCTAGAGGCATCAATTAAATGTGTTTGGCAAAGAGGAAATGTGCCTTGTCTATCCAGACTTCTGTCAGAATATTCAACATAAGCACGGTTGGAGGAATGATTTGATTTGTTGGACAGTTTTCTGTGACATTCGTTTTTTTGTTTGTGTACGAAATGTTCTGTAAGACTCACAATAAATTGTTCTCTCTTCCAGGGAACCTTTGATCCTTCATATTTTATTGGATCTCAAATAGGCTATCAGCATGAAGAAAAATCTGGTCATCGTGGCTTTACCATTAATCTTCATTCTTCTCATTTTAGTGAACGCTCAGGCTTCTATGGGTAAGTAAAAAAGCAAATGTTCTTGGTCAAGGGAAAATGTGTTGACTCAATGGATTCAGTTGGGGGTGGGGGAAGGGTTTGTATGATTTGGTAGGGGATAATCTTATTTCAATTACAAAACCTAGAACTTAGGTGTCTTCAGAATCAATGGTATACCTTCTCCTTATAGTTGACTTTTTATAAAGATGTTGGGGCTGAACTGAGCATGACAGAGAGGGAAATGGAGCCACTTTTTTTTTATTTTATTTTTTTTTTTCAAGGGTCGGAACATTTTTCACTCAAACAAATCTTGACAAGTTCTGTGAACTGTTTTATTATTATTTTAAAGGATTTTTCAAAGATAGATAAATACATTATTTTTTATTTATGTTTGCGTTCGTGTTTGCAAAACATGCAAAAATATTGACTCACTAGAGTCATCCTAGCGAAAACTCAACAAATACTTCTTAAAAACTGGGAATGGGAATTTTTTTGTCCATCTAACAGTGGAAAGTACATAGTGGGTTTTTTTTGTTTTTGTTTTTTTATAGTTTTAGGATCACCCAGCCTCTCTACCTTTTGGGAAAGCTAGTGTGGGTCCTCTCCCTGTGGTTCTTTGATGCAGCTTTAATATTCATGCTCTTCCTCTCTGCTACTTCGCACGCCATTTAGTGATGCTGTACTGACATCATATCCCGGCTCCTGGCATCGCAACAGGGCACGCAAGGGAACATTGAGGAAGAGCAGGAAAGTAATCACTCACTCACCACCCATGCTAAGCCCCCCTCAACACACTGTTTTGACACAGTGGGCACCTGCTGTTTAGATAGGCAGGTGCCTACTATGTCTTAGTGCACAGCCGGTTGCATCTTGGGAGGGGCCCCTAAGTTGCCCAGCCAGCCGACTCATGGGCCACCTGACAGGCAAACACAGATGGCATGGTCGGAATTGCGACCCTTTAGTTCTGCCACTGATATAGGAAGTTTGCAACATTTAAGTGTTTTTTAATACATTATCTATCTATCTATCTATCTATCTATATACTTATACACACTAATTCGTAATGGCCTGTATAGCCCTTGATTTGGCACTTTTGAAATACCAGCAAAGTGGAAAAATTCTCAGCACATAATTAAATATCCTGTTGACTACCACTATAGCAACCAAATCTTAACAAAGTGCAAAATTAAGCATGTGGAAGGGAAACAGCACATTTAAATATATTGGCAGCTACACAATAATCCGCTTCACGGATTCTGAACAAAGGTTTTGTGTCGTAGGATTTGGAACTTTCTGGCTCACAACTTTTTTTGTTTGATAGAGATTAATCCCCACTGTCCAACTGAGACAGTTTATCTACTGTGGCGAACATGGGGAACAATTGTAGACACTTTTAGTTGTTTGTGCCGCATATAAATAAGCTTCTCCTCTTTTAACATTCCTTAACTGCAGAATCAGCAGAACTGTAAAATGCTAACTTGTGATTGCACTAGGAATTGAAAGATGTTCAGTTTTTTTTAATAGCCTTAAAATTAGGTGTTTTAAAGGGATACTATCATTTACAGAGTAGGATAAAAAATATCATGAATTTGTGTTCCTTTTCCTAATATTAAATTACTTTTAGCTGATTATAGACATTTGGGTATAGATTTTTTTGCCGCTGGATACAAATTGCAATTTCAGAAAATTTCCCAAATGTTCAACTGTTCAATTTATTTGTGTGTTTTAGTGTTAAGTTGTGTAGTGTATATGTATGTAATCCTCTTGGAGCCCTTGGAAATTCTATATTCACAAGGCAGCACATTTTAAAGAGGCGAGAGCTATTACAGATTTTCCATGGCAGTTTTGGTTGTTATTAAAGTCTAACACTGAGAAATTACTAGATTTATTTGCAAAATTCGAAACTGGGATTTTCTGACAAATTGTGTTTCATTTCCTGATAGATTTAAGGAAACCTCTCCAGCCAGACCAGATAAAATGCAGATCTTATGAGAAAGAAACATTTTCTTGCTGGTGGACGCCATGGACTGATGACGTACTTCCAACAAACTACAGTCTGTTCTACAGAAAAGAAACGTAAAGTTCCTTCAGCTTACTCTTCTAGTCATTCTATATTTTATCTTATAAAATATATATTTGAACAGTTATTATTCTGCACATTACTGAGCATGCAAAGGAAACATCAGAAGGAGTGGGCTAAAAAAATTACAAAGAGGAGATGATGTAGCACGGTTGGTAAATGTGCACACTGAACATGACTTGTTACATAGAAGTTGTCTATCCGTTTCTTTTGACCGCATAAATTATGTAATACCATAAATAACGGACTTCTTATTCTATATAACAGCACATGGTATAATTTCTTGAGAAATACTTTGGAGACATATTGCATTTGTTAAATCCTGGATCTGTGGGCCCCCTCATTGTATCCAGAACCACTTGAATACAGGGACAGTTGGGTGCAGCCTCAATCAATTCTACTGCAGATTAAAATCAGTATGAGGCATAAATTGGGCCATGCATTTGCTAGTTCAATACTGTATTGATTAGTGCATGTGCAGTAAGTGCTTTTAAAGTTTAAAAAAATAAGCCATTTATTTGTATGTGCCCATAGGCCAAATGATGCCAGTCCTACCCAATTAAGTGGTGTGTGCATTGCTTGACTGGAATATTTATGTGAAGCAGGGCACTCGCTCGTAAGCTGCTCAAGAATTAGTTGAACTCTAAATCCACTGCTAACAGCATGTATAAATCTAGTAGCCAAACGTTGACACAGGCTGATAATCCCAATCTGTTTTTACTTTGTTCTCTCTTTGTGCTATGTCTGTATGGTTGATCATGGTAAAACTGACTCCTGTCAGTCACATTATATGGTCACAAAGTCAGAGATTGACTGAGTTCTATATGATTAAAGGCATTATGAACCTAGTTTATGTGTGATATTCTGTGATAGAATGATTAGTGAATCTTTATTAACTCTGACTTGTTATATGCTTTATATTTAACTCTAAGCAAACTGTAGAAACAATGTTGTTGATAACACCATGCATTAAATCAGTGCTCCTGAACCCTCTCGTCAAGGGACACCTAACAGTCCAGGATTTAGAGAGATTTAGTGTGTGTTTTTTTTTTTTTTTTTTTTTTTTTTTAAATTTATTTATTTTTATGGTGGTAAAAAAAAAAAAAGACTGTTAGGTGTGCCCCAACGAGAGGGTTGAAGAGCACTGCATTAAATCATTTATGTATCCCAGAAAGTCTATCCATACATGAAATTGCTATTTATCTGTTACTTATGTGCTATAAATGTTATGCCAGTAGAAAAATAAAAAGGCTAGCAAAGCATCATGGCACTTGTACTTCCACAACAAATGGAAATCTCCCTTTTGGGCACCTGTGCCTTAGATGTTTAAAGGACCACTATAGGCACACAGACCACTTCAGCTCAATGAAGTGGTCTGGGTGCCAGGTCCATCTGAGGTTAACCCTGTAGCTGTAAACATAGTAGTTTCAGAGAAACTGCTATGTTTACAATAGGGTTAATCCAGCCTCTAGTGTCTCTCATTGACAGCCGCTAGAGGCGCTTCCACGCTTCTCACTGTGATTTTTCATTTTTGAGAAATGCTTTCCTATGGACTGATTGAATGCGTGCGCATTCGTCAGAAGAGGGAGGAGAGTCCCCAGCGCCGAGGGAGCCCGGCACTGGAGAAAGGTGAGTGTTTAACCGGGCCATGAGGGTGGGGGGGACCTATTAACACTATTGTGCCAGGAAAACAAGTTTGTTTTTCCTGGCACTATAGTGGTCCTTTAATTGCTTATTTTAACATAACTTGATTATATGGTGCCTTACATTCAAGAGTCGATTTCTGTTTTTGATTTTAATCCTCGTAGATTTTCTTTGGCTCGCAACATTGACATTGTCACACAGAGGGTGTGGATTTCACATTCAGCCTGATTGACTAATATAGTGTTAGCCTAAGCTGAGCATTCTTGCCATGTTTCCTGCAGTGTAGTGGCAATAAGCCACAAAAAAATCCAAACCTGGAAAAGGTCCGCCGGTCAGAATCTAACTTTTCCTACCACTTGCAATGTAGAGACTGATTTCGAGTACGAGTGTGAAAAAATGGTAACCCAGACAGTCTGGCAATAGTACATGAATATTGTCCAAACATCTGGTAGTTTTCTTTTTTTTTTGGCATACGCTCCTTTCAATGTTAAATTGAGGAGGGGTAATGATGCCTGCAGGCCGTTTTCTAAAACTCTAATATATTCCTGCTCTTATGCATTACATTGCTGTGGACAATCCTATACACAGCCTAGTATTGTAAGTCGTATTGCCTCTGCCCTCTGTAAAGCACACTTCCCTAAAAAAATCTCAACAGTTCCCAAAGTTAAACCACTACACTGAGTTTTAGTGTCCTATTCGTGTGAGTTTTATCTATATAAGGTTTTGTGATATACTTATACAAACTGCACATAGATGCTAGGTTCATTGTAGCTATGTGATACATTTGAGTGCATTGTGTCAAAGTGTAAGTATTATGGCTGTGGAGAACTGTGACATGCTGACACACCACACATTAGGATGAACGTTCTTGCTATGGAGCGCTGTGATACATTTACAAGCACTGTACGTTACTGTGACTGTTATTGCTGTGGGTAGTGACAAACCGTGATGGCGGTAACTCAAGTAAGGGATTTACCATAAGACAGAGTAGTCCCTATTTTGTATTATGATATCTTTTGTCTGCATTAGAATTTCAATGAAATTTCAACACTGCTTTTATGAGCTTTTTTAAAAAGAATTTATGTGACATACAATGCTATATCACAACTATAGTATAAATGAATCAGAAGAATCCAATAGGAATATACTGTTTTTTTTTTTTCAGGATTACATTCAACCAAGGCTGGTTAAGCATTATGTCAGAGTTAGTGCCACAAAATGAAGCTTGCTGAGTAAAAATATGGAAATGTACTGTTTGCTTATTGTGTTTTCCTTTGTCTACATGGCAGTGATGAAAATGCATATGAATGCCCGGACTACCGCACATCTGGGCCAAACTCCTGTTTCTTTGACAAAAAGTATACCTCTATTTGGATATATTATTTCATATACATAAAAGCAACGAATGCGCTGGGCACTAATGTGTCTGAAGATTACCCTATGGATGTACAAAATATAGGTAAGAAAATTGAGAACTTACTCATAGAATTTTAAAATGCTTTGTGACAAGCTGTAACATTCCTGGGTCTCATTTAACTAAATTGACAGCAAATTAAAAATAGAAATATATGTAAATCTGCCAGTTTTTTTTTACATTCTGTAATGTAAAAGATAAAACCAAGTGTGGCTATGAGCAGGGCTGGCACAACTATAAGGTGGTACAGGCAGTTGCTATAAAGCACATCGACCTGGGAAACGCAATGTTCGAGTGACCGCAGGAGGGCAGAGGAGAGCTCGACCTACTGTCAATCACTCCATGTAGTGATCTGTATCACTGTAGAAGATCTTATTTATACTTTACCTTAGGGCTTGACAAATTTACTGTGAATCTATGAGCCATCTAATTTTTATTTTTTTATTTTTGTTTACTTGCAAAGCTTTTTTTCCACAACAAAAATACAATTCTTAAAGGGACACTATAGACACCAGGACCACTACAGCCTAATATAGGCTTTCTGGTGTCTATAGCCTGCCCTTGCAGGTTTTTCAATGTAAACACTGCCTTTGCAGAAAAATGACACACCTGGTGGCAGTCACTCAGATGGCCCCTAAAGTGCTTCCTATCTCAGTGCTGCACAGTAGGCAGCACCTACATTCAGTGTCTCCACACTCTGCAGGGAGGCACTAAAGGTTCCCCGTAGAGATGCATTGATTAAATTCATCTCTACGAGGAGATCATGGGAAAGCATTGGATTGGGTGAGATCATCAAGCTTGATGATCTCAGCCACAGAGGCGGGGCAGGCCACTGGGAGACCAGCACTGCGTGGAAATAAAGGTGAGTAAAAACACCATTCCTATGAAATCGGAGGGGGCTGGCCACCTAAACACACACATATCATAATTATTGTGTTTACTAGTGTATTCAGGGCCATCTTTAATATTGATTGGACCCTGGGAAAGCATTTGCTTGGGCCTCCTGGCATGCAAGCAAGCCCTCCACCCCAATGCAGTGACTGACTAAAGTAGAAATAGCCCTGGTGCAAGAATATTTTTGGGGCCCCCCAATTGCAAGGGTAGCCAGAAGGTAGATCCCTATCTGTTGTGCAACTCCAATAATGCTTTGACAGCTGGGTCTCTACCATTTTTCCATGCTTGCAGGGTTGTATTTCGCACTGAGCTGTATTTGTGTGTTTGCAGTGGCGTACACACAACCCATGGGGCCCCGGTGCGAAAACTTATCCGTGACCCCACCCCCCCCACGCTTACTCGGGGTGGGGCCGCAACACATGGCGGCGGTATGTACGCCAGTGCATGCAGATACACGTACACTTAAAGGACCACTACAGGCACCCAGATCACATCAGCTCAATGAAGTGGTCTGGGTGCCATGTCCCTCTAGTTTTAACCCTGCAGCTGAAAACATAGCAGTTTCAGAGAGGGTTAATCCAGCCTCTAGTGGCTGTCTCATTGACAGCCGCTAGAGGAGCTTCCACGATTTTCACTGTAAAAAATCAGTGAGAAGACGCTGAACGTCCATAGGAAAGCATTGAGTAAATTAATAAAACAAACAAAATTAACAGGGTCCCCTGGACCACCAATGAACCAAGATGGATCCTGCGATATGAGGGTATTTATAGTGTGGACGTACAGCCCTTACACTGCCACTTATGGTATTACGAGGAACCAGGTGGGACCCCATACTTGCTTTCAGTAATTTCAGGCAATACTGTCAACATATATATTTTTTTTTTTTTTTTTTTATTCAAGGCTATACTTGAGGTATAGTAAAAACTTCTGTAACCACAGAGAGAAACCACACATATAAAACTGGTTTGTGTGCTTATGATAACAATGCATTCTCAATTTATGACAAGAATCCAATTAAATCTGAATTTGGCAACAAATTTTTGATGATAAATTTAAAAGGATACTCTAAGCACCAAAACAACTTTGGATTCATGAAGCAGTTTTATGTAACATTGTCCCTAGAGTCTTACTGCTTAATTATCTGCCATTTACAAGTTACATCACTTTGGTTATGCAGCTCTAACCAGGATTTTAGGTCTGTCATTCTTAACTACCCTTTGTGGTATCTTCCATTTGAACTTAGACTGGTCTAGCCCTTATTCTGTACAGATGTTTTTGTACACAATCCCAGCAATTTGGTTGTGCCTCTCGGTGTATGCTGTTCCTGTTAACATCTTGAACCTGGCAAGATGAATATATTTAAGCTGTATGTATAGAACCCAGGCAGAAAGTCCAGTGCAATTAATTTGAATGGTCTTTATTTAACCCTGTAACTTTCTAAAACACCATAAAATCTGCACACAGGGGACTGTTGTACTCTGGAGAAATTGCTGAACACAAATATGACCCTGTAGCATTAGATCTCTCTTTTCGGGTACTGTGTAGAGAGGCCTTGAATGTGTAACTAGGGCTGTGTAAACAAAGGTATTAAACTCCTACAATTGAACATTGAGACTGTAGGGGTAATATATATATATATATATATATATATATATATATATATATTTATTCTCTCAAAACCACTTAATTATGCTAACATTGTTTTGATGCTTAGAGTGTTCGTTAAATGTGTGTTTCATCCTACTGCTATAATTGAGAATGTCACCTTTTAAAAAAAATGACCTCCTCGCTTGCAGGATAAAGCATCTGTCATACAGCTAAAGTTACATAAACATATAGATCAAAACATTGGCATGTGCTTAGCTTAAGATCTTACTACACTCTATAAATAGCTCAAAGGATATTTTATCATTTAATATATTTGTAAATTAACTTGCTATTTATAATTTGAGATTAAGATGTTTAGGGTTTTTTTTGTTTGTTTTGTTTTTTTTTTGTTTTGTTTTTTTTGACAGCAGTACCTGCGTATTATTTGAGTTGAATGTTCAGTGCTATTAGGAGTTTAGTTACTAAAAAAATTCAAAACTGAATTGCAAAATTTAGGCAAAACAGTCCTGATTGACAATTTCTCTAACTTGGTTATGGTAATTTCTCAACAATTTCTAACCTAAATTTTGCAGTTATGATTTCAGTTAAGTTTAAGTGAATAGACTTCTTGGAGCTCAATATGAAAAAGAAAGAAAAGAGCGAGAGAGGGGAAAAAAAAAAGAGAAGTCGTGAGGAGATCCAGGCATCAGTTACCAGACCAAAAGTCCATTAGTATCCAGGAAGCACCACCAGTGGCTGTCTGGTCTGGGAGACTGCCTCTGGAGACAGACTTAGAGCTGCAATGTAAACATTACAATTTCTATGGAACTGCAGTGTTTTACATTGCAGCACTAAGTGAAATAGGGACAGTGCACTCAGATCACTTCAATAAGCTGAAGTTGTTGTCTGGGTGCCTACAGTAATCCTTTAACTCAAAATAAGTAGGATAGAATTTGCTAGTCTCTAACGTTCCACAAGTGCAGATCTTTAAATGAACACTTGTGCCAGATGTGACTTCCATTCCCATATTGTTTACATTTTATAGTCTTACATTTATTTCTTTACATCATGGTGACCTAATGCGGATGTAATCTAATTTTTGATGTAGAGATTCAGACCTTCAGTGATGGTCCATTGTGAGAAAGAAAACTACTGATATTGCCTCATGGGGTCATGCATCTGCTTTCTTCCATTATTTGCAATACATTACATTTATTAAATGTGTGTACATATCTAAAGGGGACTTCATCGTCCACATGTTTGTATATCAAGAAATGGTGTGACTTTGCCTCTAAATATTTGTTAGCAGCTTTCAGCAATGTACAATCATACTGTATTTTATGGGCTCGTGTAAAACAATAACAATACATCAATACTGACATTAATATATTCATTGTTAAGATATTAATTACATTCTTTTCCCCTTTAGTTCAAACACATCCTCCTATCAACATTACGCTCACTGTTGATAAGGATAAACCAAATCTCTTGATAAACTGGCTTCCACCACAAACTGCTGATGTGAAATCGGGATGGGTAACCCTTCAATATGAACTAGAAATAAAATCTGAGAAAGACCATGATTGGGATGTAAGTCGAGAGTTCTTGATGAACCACTTCTAATGCCATCTTGTGATTTTCATTAATGAATTCTTAATAGACTTGTGCAAAAAATAGTTTAAGCCTGTTTTTCAAGTCAAATTCTTTTTAATTCACACCCAAATGAATCGATTTTGTCCAGGATTTACTTGTGGAGTCTTTTTCAATTAATAAGACTCCACAAGTAGATCCTGTGTGAATCAATTTGTTCGGGTGTAGATTAATAGGAAGTGGAATCGTATCAACAGACTGCACATGTCTAATTCTTAATGACCACAACTTCTGGTCTTGTCTGTTTCCACCAAGTATGTCTTTGAAACAGAGTGTCATTTCAAATCAATAAGGGTCCATCTCTTGAAATGATGAGGCTAATACCTTGGTTAAAACTTGATCATTTATGAAAATTCCACTAGAAATCTTACTACTTAATGTAAACCATGAGTTTTTGCATCAAATGTAATATAATTTATATAATATATAAAATGGCATTCATTTGTTTGATAAATATAACACTAAACATTTCCTTTCAATAATTCCTTTACAATCTAGTTGGTTATATATAACAAAATGTCAGTCTTTAAAGGGATCCTACAGTTCCAGGAAAACAAAGCCGTTTTTCTGACACTATAGATTTCTAAGGTGCCCCCCTCCCTTGCACCCTGCCCTCCCGCGGTGCTGGAGGCATTAAAGTAATTTACCTGAATCCAGCGCCGGTGTGAATCGGCGCTGGATCATGCTCTGCCAACGTCAGCTGGCAGGGGAGACCTAATGCATATGCCCGGCAATGACTGTGCTCGCATTAGGATGTCCCCATAGGAAAGCATTAATCAATGCTTTAATATGGGGAAAAATCTGACGCTGGAGGTCCTCATGCCGAGTGTGAGAACGTCCAGCGTCCGATAACGGACCAAAGGTCCGTTTCGATTCAGGAAGCCCTCTAGTGGCTGTCTGGTAGACAGCCACTGTGGGCAGACTTAGAGCTGTAATGTAAACAAAGGGGAGACAGCACCCATGAGATTAAGTGGTCTGGGTGCCTACAGTGTCACTTTAAGGCAGTTCTACCACCTTCAATAATCTTAGCTTATTGTAAAGCCCCCCCCCCCCAAAGGTTATGTTTCCACTTTATGTGAGGTTGGGATAAGGGAGAAAGTAGTGCTACTTACCTGAAGTTTCCACTCAAGGGCACCATCATTTTCCTTCTTCTGCTCCTTGTGATTATTCTGCCACAAACTATATCTCTGCCATACTGGCGCTGTACTCTTGTGCAAGCACAGAAGTACAACACTGAGGTCTATGGAGGATCCCACAAGACTTGCATCTTTCATAGCCCAACTCTCGCCATATGTGAGTAAATGTCTTTTGTCAAGTTCTCTCGTTCTCACTGTTGCCCATAATACAAAGTTTTTGGGGATTTTTTTTGTCTTATGAAATGTTTTGTTGCCAATGGCATCTGGGTGAAATATAGTGAAATTAGAACATAGTCAACATGAATATAGGTCTAGCGGTGACTGAGCCACTATAATATAGCTAAGGATAAACCATCCATTTTCACAGTGTAGGCAAATTTGCTATGTCCTTGTCAATTCCTGACAGTTCCTGGTTAATTGAACAATCGTACCAGAGAATAAACCCCTAAGTATGGATTTCTTATTTGATATTTGTTTTGCTTTTGTTTAAGAGTCGGGGTGTGCATAAACAACTATTTCTGAAGTTGGTCGGTTTAATGCCTGGCGATACATACGTTGTCCGAGTTCGATGCAAGCCAGACAATGGACCTCTGTGGAGTGAATGGAGTGATGAGATGTATATCACAATGCCTGGAAGTGAGTACATTTACTGCCCTACCCATCACAGACCATACTGTTAACTCCAACCACTCTCATTTTCATATCCACAATCCCTCTTCTAATTTTCAACCTGTTTTAGCCATTCACCATAATTTCTATCCGGTAGGAGTCAGCTTAAAGTAGAACTGTCCCATCTCTGGAATTTACACCGTTCTAAATATTGCAAACCTATTTTTCAAGAGATGCTTTTTTTTTATTATTTTTTTATTTAATGAAATTTTAAGATTTAACACATGACCCTTATCTAGTCCACACAAGGCAAAGCCTGGGCAAACATAATAGAAATATAATTTTTTGAATTTCTCCTCTTCTCTGTATCCTTTCTAAATTCGGACTTCCAAATGCAAAGGACAGAGCTCGTAAACAATGATTGACAAGGAGCTAAAATTGAGGAACCAGATTCCAGAATATGGCAATGTGTATTACCTTTAAGATTATTTTTTACACCTCACAAAAGCTTTATATATTGTAGACTTTTGGCCTCGGAAATAAATCATACGGCTTCCCAGATTAAAATAAACTATATACTTCACTAAAATTAAATACATTCATCCTAAAATGATTGTGGATGAGTTTGTTTCGTTTTATAAAACTCTCTATAATCTGAACTCAGATCCAGCTCAGTACAAACCAACAAGTCGATATATATTTGACTTCCTAGACTGGGTAGAGTTGCCTCGGTTGTCCTGCGAATGAGCAGAGGATTTAGATATATAGAAAAAATGGTGTGTGGGATAAAGTGCTTAGACAGTGCAGGCTAGCCACTCCAGATAGGGGATCACTCCCAATTCCCCAAAGTTATACAAATGCACAAAAAGTATAGTTCAAGAATATATACCAATGGGGGCGCCACAATCACAAAACGTGCGTATAATTACCATACATTTTCAATGATGACCATATAAAAGATAAAACATATATGGTGAAGTATTTAATGGCACAGTTTAGAAGATAAAAACAAATATGTACACTCACAAAGATGATGGCACAAAGAGACTTATATCTAATTGTGCAAAGGTGCTTTTCAACCCCTCCTGGGTTAAGTCACCTTTAAATACAGGTCCAATATCGATGCCTTTAGATGGTGAGTAGTCTCTTTCCAGGCAAGGATAAATGATTAAATGTAGAGTCTCTGGGGGGATACTGGCAAGCTTCTCCGCTCAACGCGTTTCGTACCGAGGACTTTCTCAAGAGCTGTAAGTCCTCAGTTGTTCCGGCTTTTTAAATCTTCAGATTTGTGTGGCTTTTTCGCATGCTATTTGCCAAAGTAATGGCTAACAGAATAAGACTCCTGGCATCTATTCTAGTATCTCCTGAAGACGCAGGGTTTGTTCCAGGGTGACAGGTTGAGGATAATACTCGGTGAGCCCTGAATTAATGACGTCTAACAAAATGCCTGGCCTTGCTTTTGCCTTAGACGCAGAAAAGGCCTTTGATCGTATTCACTGGGGATATATGATTGCGGTCCTTAAAAAATACCTCTTCCCATGCAAATTTTTGCATGAGTTATTGTCTTTATATTCTGTACCATTAGCTAGGGTGTTGAATGCAGGTTTTTTTTATCCCAGAATTTAATTGCTAACGGCATGAGGCAGGGTTGCCCCCTGTTGCCCTTGATCTTTGTATTAGCATTAGAACCTTTTATATATTGGATTAAACATAAGGACATAGGTGTCCCTACACAAAAAGGCAACCAAAAAAATTGCTGTATTTGCAGATGATATCCTTTTATTCCTCCCCAAAGTCCGTAATGGCACTCCATTTTTTCCATGTATTTGTTTTTTTTCATAGAGGTCACATGTCCCAGTCCGTGCAAGATTATTGGCAGTTACTTTTCTTTTCTTTTTTTATTCAATTGTCTAAAGAGATAAATTGACTATAGCTTGGGAAGACAAGGACAATGTATGTCTCTGTCCTGCCTTTAGATTAAAGACTGATCAATAAAACACAGACACTAATGCTAACCGACACTGCATTTGGCTTCTGCTAACAGTCTTATCTCAGCTACGTTGGTATGATACAGCACCATGCTAATTGCTGTATCTGGTAAGCTGTCACATTGTTCTAAAATGGTTTGACAAATTACTCTGGTCTTTTTCAGGATACGTCTGTCACCATAACCACTACAACAGGATGTCATGGTTATGGTACTTATGGTACCTTTAAATGCACATTCTTCCATGAGAACCTGATATAATATATTTTTTTTCTCTCTTTACCAGAAAAAGATTTTACACTGTGGATATCAATTGGTGTATTGTCCTTTGTCATCTGTTTGACATTGATCTGGACCATGGCATTAAAAGACTGCAGGTAAATATAAGCCATCATGCAGAATTCAGCCGACAGCCTGTGATATTTATATCAGATAGTGGTCTGGACAAGACATCCGCTTATATAATTTAGTAGGTCTATGTTTGTATGATAGATGATGAGTATAGATGGCACTGATCAATAGACCACAGTAAGCAGTCTGTATTGTGTGAACATGTAATTTATTGCTTCAGGAGCAAAATATATTTTTTTCATCATCTTTCTCTGATGGTAAAATCTCAGTTCAATAACTGCTCACTTTGCAGCTTTTTTACATCTTTATAACTAGTTTTTATAACATGTATACAGACGTCGGGAATAAATAGGAAGGTAAATCAATGCTCTTTCTTTATTTTTAATTTTTATTTTATTTTTTATATTTACTCTTTTTTTTTTTATAATGCCTTTTCTTAGTGTTCCTTGCCGTTCAGTTATAATCTATTATCAAAATTATTTTAAACTATAAAATTAAAATTACGCATGTCCATGCCACTGTTATTGTCGTGGCAACCATCAGAAGCATTAGGTGGAGTGTAATTGATTAGCACCCTACGGAGGGCCAACAACCTAGACCGCAGTGACCTAAAGAGTAAGAAGTCGTCACAGTCGTTGATGTGCACTTCCTAAATATCATTACCAGGTTGTTGATGCCTGTACAATAATAATTTCGCTAACATAACTAAAAAGTTATAAATATCATTATTTTAAACCTACACTATATTGCGAAAGTGAAAATGCATATCAAAAAAGGACTTTGGAAAGTTTTCGTAAACCTATAGAATTTCATTAAAAAGTTATTTCCATTTCTTTTTTCTTTTTCAGTTTGATGGCCTGCATTTTCCCACCTGTACCAGGACCTAAAATTATGGGGTTTGATACACAGCTCCTTAAGGTAGTAACCGTTCATAACTTATGTTACTACATACATATTTATGAAAGGTCAATGTTATTTACCAAAGCTAAAATGTTTTATTATGGAAACAAAATCATTGATTGATTTTTTTTATTTTATTTTTATTTTTTTTTGCAGTCTGGGAAATCTGAAGACCTCCTGAGTGCTCTAGGATGCCAAGGATTCCCACCGACATCAGATTGTGAAGATTTACTGGTGGAATTTGTAGAGGTCGATGAGAGCAAAGAACATCTGATTACAAGTCAGGACAGAAGTCCACAAGGACAACATATAAAAGTCTGCCCTGTGGATACAGATAATGACTCTGGAAGGGGAAGTTGTGATAGCCCCTTTGCATTTTCTGAGGCTTGCAAAGAACTTCGAGGTCTTCCACCAGATGTGGACAGTGACATCAATGACCATTCTGCAAGAAAAAATCCATGGCCACCTCAAAACGCTATGATGGGAAGACCTTGTATAAACTTTGCAGATAGCAAGTCTTATGTTTGGCCAGAGAGTTCAATATGTGGTAGTCTGACACCAAGGTCAACCTACCACAATATAACAGATGTTTGTAAGCTGGCCCTTGGGGCCATGAACGCCAATGTATCTGCATTTTTAATGCCAAATGAGGACAAAATCCAGCCAAGATACTTTAAAACAATAGAGACCGTTGATGAAAGCAAGCAGAGTGAGCTGAAAGATATGTATTCCAAAGGTTCCGAACCAGACCAGATGCACTTGCTGTCTAATGAAAATCCACCCTTTATGTCTGCTAGAACAGTGGACTATGTGGAGGTCCACAAAGTCAATCAGAACAATGCACTAGCACTCATACCAAAACACAAAGAAAATAGCATCAGGACTGACCAATTTTCTGCATCATTCCCCAACAGGGAATACACAAGGGTGGAAAGAGTGGAAGGTAACAGTGTTTTTGTGTTAATGCAGAATCTAGAAAATCAGGGAAATTCTATGAACATTGAACCAATGAAGGAATACACTCAAAAGTCCCAGCAAAACCCAGCTGAAAAAATCACTGGCTTTTACCCACCAGCTGTAAATGAAGGCCGAATTCAGACAAGTGGATGCATGGGTTATATGGATCCTTCAAGCTTTTTATCATAATATAGTGATATCTTCGGTATATTTTGCTTAATCAGACAATGTTGCACAGTAATACAAACACAAGGAAAGATTATTGGTATTTATGGGTAAAAATTATATATTTTTCTGTTTTATTTGATCAGACCATCCTATGCTTATTACTTAACAAATTTCCTGTTTTATTTAAAGTAAAGGCAGATCAAATTATTTAATGTGATTTTCTATTTGTTTCTTCTCTGCTATCTTATATTTTGTGAATTTATGTAAAAAAAAGTGTATATGCTGTAAAAGAAAGCAATGTTATGCTTATGGAGTTAAAAGGCGGATCCACAAAACTAGAGCAGAACAGGTTGTGAGTTTGTATATATGTATGTTGTCCCAAGCGTGTTTAAACAGTGGATCAGATTACTTCAACATTAGCAGTCTCTTCAGCTGAGAAAATGTTGTTCTGGTCGGTATTCTCTGTCTGTACAATTCAAATGACCTCTCGTGTGATATTTACACAAAAATCAGTTGCATACTAAGCAGCTCACTCCTGACATTAAAGGTCCACTATAGGCACCCAGACCACTTCAGCTTAATGAAGTGGTCTGGGTGCCAGGTCCAGCTAGGGTTAACCCTTTTTGCAGTAAACATAGCCGTTTCAGAGAAACGGCTATGTTTAGGTTAGGGTTAATCCAGCCCCTAGTGGCTGTCTCATTGAAAATCACAGTGAGAAGACGCCAGCGTCCATAGGAAAGCATTATAAATGCTTTCCTATGAACTGGCTGAATGTGTGCGCAGCTCCTGCCGCGCATGCGCATTCTGCCGATGACGTCGCTAGGGAGGAGGAAAGCTCCCCGCCCGGCGCTGGAGAAAGGTAAGATTTTAACCCCTTCCTCTCTCCAGAGCCCGGCGGGAGGGGGACCCTGAGGGTATGTTTTCCTGGCACTATAGTGGTACATTAAGAGCCACCTTGTCAGTTTGTGGGATTTGTACTTTGTGTTTAGTGGATTGGTTCCTTTAAGTGGTATTGGAACCACAGAGGTCGTATTTGTCTGCATTTAGAGAGATTTCTTATTATTACCCCAACTTATTTTTCTTTTCCAAGTCACTCCAATATAAATTTACCTCTCTGTTTTTATACTTTATAGTGATAAAAATGATTTGTTGTGTGTGTTTTTTCGCACTTTTGCAGAAAAGCTCATGGTTATTGATGTTTCTACAGTAATGAATCTTGTTTTGAGCAGGGCCTTCTTCGTCTCTAAATATCCCCTTTCTATATTTTGTAGTGTGCTTGTAGAATATTACATATTCTATGTTCCTATTCATCTTAGGTATGGATGTCTAATGGGTATAAGAAGAGATGTGTTCATAGCTACCTATAATAGATCAGACTTCCAAGGAATCTCATATACCAGGTAGATATTATACAACGCTACAGATTATGTTGGCGCTGTATAAATAATAACAAGAAATGGCTGAGATATTTTAGCCAATACTAGTCACAAAAGCATGCTCATTAATTTCCCTTTGAAACCAATGTAAGAAAAGCATGCACATGAGTAATTACACCAAAACCATTTTCTTCTTCAATTGAAAAATTATGTCAACTAAACTAACAAAAGTCTATTCTTGTAATAAAGACTTTCATTTCAAGTGAACGAGAAGCTGTCTGCAGCCGTATTATACATGTACTGACTTTTCCCTTGAATGGGATTTTGCTATGCTATGTGGCTAGTTATGGTGCAAGATGTTTTTGCACTTTCTGTGGCATTAACAACAAAGATTCTGTTGGAGTTTTGGTGCCTGGAGATTCCTTCTAGTGATGTTTTCATGTTTGTTAGAAGGGTAGGATCGATCGTAATCTAATATTTAGATTTGATTGCCCCCCTTGCTTTTCTAAAAGTCACTTTTTTCATTTAGGATGCACATGTGTGCATTGGTATGAAAAGCTATATTTCTCACACTGCTGTATAGCATCTACATTTTTAAACCCAATTAGAAAAAAAAAAAGCTAACATACAGTATCCTTTATAATATAAATGCCTTTACCTCCTTAACATTTGATGTGAATGCTGATTTGCATAGAGAAGAGGATGGAAAAATAGTCAGGTTCTTTGTCATTGTGTGAGCAAATGGGTATCCCTGGATTTAGCTGATCTGTTTCATTTTTTTTTTTTTTACTTTTTGTGTGACGTCTGATAAGTCAGTGAATTGGTTAACATGCACCTTGAAAATGTTTCCATAAATATTTAATTGAAATAAAAAATCTGAATATATATTTATTTAGATATGGTCCATATCATCCTCCATTACTAACTACGTAGTGCAAATATGCCACTTTATGCTCTATTATTCACAAATTAAATTGTTAGTATTTATTACTTTAAAAAATATTAAGAAAAGCAACAGGTTGCAATATATGTCAAGAACTGGCAACCAGTATTCTATTTTTTTATTAATTTTTTTTTTTTTTTTTTTTATAAAGATGTTGTTCATGTCATTGCTCCCTTAGCACCTCCATGAAAAAATGGAATTTCAGTTCATGCTAGATGCACAAACGAAGCATGCATTCCTTTGTGACATGGAATGGCTAAAAAGTAGATTTATGTAAATGCCTAAATGTAGGTATTTGTTCTCACAATTATTCTAGTAGCGTACCGTTGCAAAAATGATTATTTGAGTGAACTTGTTCTCTAATTTTCAATTTCATACATGGGCTATCACGTTCGCTTTTCAACAGCCAACCCTGTCAATAGCACAGTTATTCTGATAATTGGATGTGTAACTTTTGCAGTCTGTAATCCACGTTTAAAGTGCTACAGATTACGGCCAAAATACACTTTGAAAAATTGGTGACACAAACGTGACATCTTGTCTGGGGAAATTAATTCTATTAAATTCTATTTAATTCTATTAAAACAAGTCCTAACAACCTAAATATGCATATTTCCGTATTGAGAGAAATAAATATTTTTGCAAAATCTCAAATATGGAAAATACAATCTGAAAGTAGAATTATTTTATAATTTATGCATCAATATTGTACATTATTGTAATTCTTGCATTGTATGCTTGCAATGAGATGTATTTTAAAAATAGGTAATTATTAAATATTTTTTAACATGAAAATTATTTTACATAAGATATTTTCTTTTTATAGACTATTATATTGAGTAAAACTTAAATAGCTTGTTAGAAATATTGGTAAAAGTCCATCCATAATGACACAAGGGAGATAATAGTCAAGGTACAGATTGGTCCATCTGTGATATTCAAGATAAGAAAGTAGCATGATCATGAACCACTCATAGGTCGATCAACTCCTTCAATATACAACAGAATAAAGAAAGCAGGCCATGACTGCTTTTAACTACAGTCATCTACCTCCTGACAGAATGCCTTACTGTAAATAAGCTGGGATTCCACTTTTTAGAGATACTAATGTTTAAAATATTAATGTTTTAAGTAATATTTTCATATATCTTGCGGATACTTTTACATCTAGAATTTTTTATTTATTTTTTTTTTTTTTAACAGGGCAGCACTCTTCAAATATTTTTTTTGATTTTTCCTTTCCTTGTGCCGCCTTGTATGTTGAGGATTATACTCCCCTCCATGCCACTTGCCTTTGTTTACTATCTTTTCTTTCTTGTGCTGGATCTCAATACCTGGGTGCAGCCATTTTGCTCTCCTTCGTCCATTATTAGTGCAGTTTCCCTTCTGTGGGATTAATTGTACTGATCGATTATGGGGTACCTTTTTAATTGACAACTGTACATGTGGAAACCTAGTCCTTTTATTCATGTATTTTTTGAAAACTAGAGCACTCAGGAAATAAATAAAAACAGGTTCAGACTCTGGGAGTTGTATAGAAACCGATAAAGTTTATTTTTTGGTGACAGAGACCCACTTTAATGACTAAGAATTAAGTCTTGCTTTAGATGCTCTATTACTGGCCAAAGTGCATTTTACTTTTTATACTGTGATTAACACATGAGGCAAAAACATTTGTACAGCTGATCTTTTATTCTTGACAATATGAGTTAGAATATAGAAGATACAAGTTATACAGAGAATCGTATTCTCTGACCTTTTTGTAAGTAAATAAAACAAGATAACTCTGAGGCTTGCAGTAAAATTCTTACTCCCACCTTACTGTTACTTGCCCATTGGGCATTGCTTATAGGTCCCCAGTTGCAACTTAAAAATCTAAAGTTTAAATTGACCTGTGATACAGAGGCGAGCGAAGGTCCTTGCACTGATCTTCTTCCTCCGTTCAATGTCAGTGGTAGTTTTGTGCAGTCCAATCACAGGCTTCTCATAGAGAAAACTGTGATTTGGACTATTTCACCAGCTCAGAGCGCATGCACACACTCTGAGCCAGTAAAGGGAGGGATTTTAAGATGGAGAGTGGAATTCATATCTTAAAAAATAATACATCCAATGGAGGGAAATGCGCTGACCACCGACCGAATATGCACAGAATTGACATTAGCCAAAGTCATGTATGTTGAGGCTGTAACTAGCCCTGGCACACAACTACAAATATCTCTGAATGTGCAGCGTTTCAAACAGGAACCCTGCACATCTAGACTTCTACCACCATGATTACTTCAAATCACCAAAGTAGTCATGGTTGTTGGATTAACCCTTTTAAGAGATCAAATTTTGCTTGTATTTTCAAGTGATAAACGTTTAAAACTTATCATGTTGGTGTTTAAACAAGGTTCACTTTTTAGAATGCTTGCAAACTGTTGGACAAAGCAACGTAGCATTCATATGCTGCATCAATCAATGTGATTTACAAGTCTGCAGTATATTTCACACAATGCTGAATAAACCTTTGTTTAGGAAATCATGGTGGAGCTGTAGGAAAACAAAGCTGCATTTTTAGGACACATCACGAGAAATCAGGCCACATGACTTATAGGCAGCACCCAGGAGAGTGGCAAGTGCCAAGCTGACCCATCATGTTTTTATGGTCGAAGTCCGTTAAGGACTTAACCCACTGGTTAGCATCATTTGTGTCGAGGTTTAATTAAAAAGAAACTCTTCCTAATTGCTAACTTGATTTCTTTCACCAATTGCTTATGTGTATGTTGCAACTTGTGCAGCTTTATAACCCTTTTTTGCAAAAAAAATTAAAAAAAAATTATTTATTTCTTAATAACACTAACATTGTCCACCCCAAGTTTAAAAAAAAAAAAAAAATCTCTTTTTAAGTTAAAGCTTGAATCCAGCTCTAGTTTAAGAGCTCTTTGCTAGTTGTCACTCCAAGGTCCAATCAAATGTTTCTCTTAAAGAAGCCTTTGATTGGACCTTTCTCCCAGGCTCAGAGTGCAAGGGGTGTTTTTTTTGTGTTTTGTTTTTTGTTTTGTTTTTTTGCAAATTACAGAGATGTAACATCCCCTGGCACAAAAATGTAGATATCTCTGTATGTACAGCGTTTCAAGCTGAAATGCTGTACATACAGATTTATTGCACCATAACCACTTCTAAAAGCAGTAGTGGTCATAGAGCCTGAAGTAACCCTTGGAATTTTTTCAGGGTTTATTTATTTTTTGACGGATGTTTGTGTGTTTATTGAGTTCCTACTGTGTGTTCTGAATGTGGCATGAAGCACTTTGAGCAGTTTTATTATTGCTAGTCTTCTGGGATATTGATCTGCAATATTTATTTTTTTTTTTAACAAAATATAGAAGAAAAAGGTAAACAGCATATAAATCTATATATTCAAATATATTTTATAGTAGACTTTCTTTGTAATTATTCAATGACAATTTACAGCCTAGCATGGTTTTTGTAAAACAAATCATTAAAGGAACATAACGTGTTACCTGGTAAATAATCATGCATTGAACTGGTTTGTAAGAAAGTTTCATTGGAATGTTTGCATAAACTAGCACGACTCCGTACCCCTTTTAAGGCTGCAACGGTTCTTGAAAATGCATAATTTAGGGCTGCATTAATTCACTGCTACACTGCATTCTGCATTTTATTTTTATTTCTACTCTCTTTTAGGGTAATATCCAGCCTCCTAAACCTTTGGCCAAAACGGGCAAATAATACAAAAGTGAAACTCAACAATACTAAACATCATTAACTGTTTACTTCTTGTGCACAAAATTTATGTCTCTAGCCATATGTGCCTCATGGTCATATATTTTAGTTTTATAAACACTATATTGAAGAAAAGTATAATATATGATAAGTACGCATATATAATATAAATATATGTATTTTTTTCCTATGTAAAAACTATTGCCTAATGGTATTTATTTAGGGATTTATATTGATGTAACCTTATAGGCAGAATAATATAATTTTTTTTTTTTTTTTAATGCATACAGAGGTTTGGCAAACTAAAACCACCATTATTTATTTATTTTTACTTCCAACACGCATCACCCCAAACAATATCAACAATGGTTTAATATTGCAATATTTTTTTAACTTTAGCCAAAACTAGCAGAGTTGGAAAACAAATATCCAAATTTTTTTTTTTTTTTTTTTCTGACATTACACGTTTGTACTTGTAAAATTGGCGAATATTTTGTAATTAAAATGATTCAGCATTTGCAAACATGAAACATTTGTTGTATAGACCAACCAGACCTTTCCTGAACATATATTTGAAAAACAATTCCGTACTGTAAGATTAGAATTTAATTTGTTAATCACTTTATTTATAAGTAAATATTCATGTAATTGGAAGTCTTGGCCGTAACATAATGATTAAATGTGATGCAAAAATTAGCCGGTAAAGACCCCCTAGCTTTGAAATGGCATACTGACTAGTAAATATTTTTTTGGTTATTTAAAATGTTATTTTTTTTAATTTTTTTTAATTTACAAAAATTCTGAATTTGTTTAACTAAACCAAATCCTGTCTGTCTTAGGCAGCGACTTTTATTTGATTTTGTTAAAGACAGAAAATTTTGTGCAATTTAATGCAATCTGAATGGTGTGGATGGAATTATACAAAATTCAATTCCTTTTTACTTGGTGCATAATATGATGCATGTTTATGGCATTATTCTCTTGGCCGTACGTTAACAACTGAATTGTGAAGTTTTGCCCAAACTAGCCAAGTTGGAAAACAAATCTTCAAGTTTAGCCAAAGTTGTGTTTTTTTTAATTTTTTTTATTTCTTGGCTAATTTAACATAAAGTCAGTTATCAAACTGAATAAACTTCTTGAATGTTTCACATGAACCCATTAAATGATATGATATATATATAGTATTCACCATTATGTGTATTATTATATTTCAATGTACTGTGATACTACAGCAGGGACTGTGTATATAAGTGTAGATTCCAAATGGAGGGACTTTAATATATTCTGTAAATATATTCATAAGAAAGCAGTTCTATCTGGCTAGCACTAAAGATGCTCATGTCTGCAATTAATGCGTTACTGTTTCCTTCTTACTGTATTTCTTTTTGTCTGAAAGAAAAAAAATAAATATATATACATATATTTCTTTATATGTGTATATATATGTATAGTGTGTATTTGTGCTAATTCAATTTCACTTGCCAACACATGGATTTCTTCCCATTCCACACAAATAAATGATTTAATTAATGAGAAACTGTTGTTTTATCCTTTTTGTTTTGTAGTGTTTTTATCTTTTGTTGATATGGCCTATGTATGGATCAGTAGAAGGGTCCTGTACTCACCAATGCAACTTTTATATCAATAACGTAAAACAACAAACACCTCCACCTAAAACATGCAGTGCAAGTAAACAGACAATAAAATGAAACCGTATTTACCACTTTCACTAAATATTGTAAATATAGAAGTCTTCCAAATCTTTTTAGTTTTATATTTTTTGTATATATACTTTTTACAATATTTTATATTAAAGAGCTGAAGTGCAGTATATCCAGCACACTGGGTAAGAATAGATTCAAGGTTAAACTCACAAATGTAGGTAAAGGGAAAGTTCATCAACAAATAAAGGTATATTTTGGACTGAATAGTTCACTGTATGTTTAAAAGTGCATGCAAAAGAAATAGCCATAATGCAACACTGTATGGTAATACATTCACTGCTTTACTATATTACACTTACAAGATGTAAGGAGTTAAAAAGCCCATCAACATATCCCTGGAGAATCTGTTGTGCAAGTGCAGCTGTAATCAAACCACTCCAAATAAAACACGTTTTAAGTGTTAAAACGAAATTAAAAATCTAGTAAATAAAATACAAATTCTAAATAACACCATAAACGGTGAAGCACAAAGTAGGCTCTGCATGTTTAAATAAGACTTCCACAGGGGCATCCATAACATGCAGCATAAACAGCAACAATAAAACAAACCATTATGTATCCAATAAAGTCTGCCGTGTGTCTGTGATTCTCCGATCCAGGACCGTCTTGTCCAACTGGTACCATTAAAATTTGTGCCAAATAATCCTTGAAACACGTGGAACAGATGTCACTTCCGCCCATATTCTTCAGCAAAATTTCCTCCAGGTATGACATTGTCCACCTGTCCTGCTTCCTTGTTCTAGGTTGCACGTGTGGAGCGCACTTGCGTTTTACACACTGAAAACGTAGCCACCAGATTATCCTGGGTTACAATCCATATCTGTGTGGAGAGACTACTGGCAATGGATCTTCCAGGATTGTCCATATTATATAGGTCATATGGAATCATGTAAAAACATTAAGATTTGAAAATAAATTAAACAGTGTTTCTACACATCAAAATACCTATTGTATAAAATAGAGTAAAGGAGGAAAAGATTGATGGTTTTAAATGTTAAAGAATTCCTTATGAATTAGCAATTTAAAAGAAATATTAAAAAAAATTATTGTAGAATTATCTAGTTAAAAATCGGTGAGAAGACGCTGGGCATCCATAGGAAAGCATTGAGAAATGCTTTCCTGGGACTGTTTGAATGCACGCGCGGCTATTGCCGCGCATGCGCATTTTGCGCTGACGTCTGCAGAGGGAGCCTGGCGCTGGAGAAAATTAAGTGTTTAACCCCTTCAGCCCCCTTCAGCCCAGCGGGAGTGGGACCTTGAGGGTGGGGGTTACCTAAACACCCTATAGTGCCAGGAAAAAGAGTTTGTTTTCCTGGCACTATAGTGGTCCTTTAAAATGTTATCTTCTATTAAAATAGGCCAGTAATTATTTAAAGTCTGTTTCATACTGAAAGCAAGGGAGTTAAAACCTGTATTAACGGAAAAAGTAGTCAGTTTACTATTATCGGCCCGTTTTTTAATTATTTATTTTTTTATCAAGATTTGTGATCTCCCCTTCTCGTTTTTCCTATTTTGTCTACCTCCAATTTCAATTTGTTAATGGGGTAACCTTTATAAGTTAAAATTTGTTAAAATATATGTCCTGCTCAGTACAATTTAGTGTGAGTCTTATTGGATGAAGGTCTCTGTTGACGTTAATGAAACTGTTGGTGTCAGTAGGTTTAAAATATGTCTTAGTCTTGATCATAGAATTATCAATATAAATTGTTCAGATCGAGCAAATATATCCGGTGTTGGTTTATCTCTGTGTTAAAGACCAATGAATAAGCATTTTTGTTAATATAATCTAAAATTTTCTTCATTTTCTCTTGGGTTCCATTCCAAATCACTAAAAGTTTGTCAATGTAGCGACACTAGAGCTTCAAGTCTGCCACAAAAGGGATTATTATTCCATTAAATATTCCATTAAATTATTATTCCATAAAAATATTACCATAACTTGGTGCAAACTTGGAGCCCATGGTCGTGCCCTTGGCTTGTAGAAAAAAAATCCCCATTAAAGCTAGAAAAAAAATTATGCATTAAACTAAATTCTATGGATTTAAAAATTCTTCTAACTCTGGCTTTAAATCCTTGTCATTATCTAAATTGCTTTTTACTGCTGCCAAACCTAATTTGTGATCAATTATGATATATAATGAACTCGCGTCTAGAGAAGCCAACCAAGAACCTTCATTCCACTCAAAGTCAAGTTCCTCTAACAAGTGTTTGGTATGTTTCAAATGTGACTTTGCTGACTGGGCATATTTTTCTAAAAAGTGGCCTATAAATTCTGAAAGTTAGAGGTTAGTAATTCTATCCCACTAGGCTGCTCTTGTGTGTTCCACTTAGTTGGTTATATGAATAACCAATGTATCCATACACACTGAGAGTCACTTCATATGACACTGCTAGACTCATATTTTTGTATGAAGTGAAAAAACAAGTAACGTGAGTGAGATAATTTACTTCTTTCATATTAAGTGTACTCACATGTATTGTATATATTTTTGCTCAGGGGAAATAAGGCTTTAATTTCCCATCAAATATATTTATTAAACACAATTTAATATGAATAAATCTAAAAAGGTTTGAGAAATGTTACATAGCTGAAAATAGACTTGCACCCATCAAGTTCAGCCTCTCTCCCATACGTTTTTGCTGTTGATCCAAAAGAAGGCAAAAAAAAAAACCTAGTCTGAAGCGCTTCCAATTTTGCGAAAAACTAGGAAAAAATTCCTTCTTGACCCCAAAATGGCAGTCAGATATCTCCTTGGATCAAACCGCTATTACCCCATTAATTACAAATTATATCCCTGTATATTATGATTTTGCAAGTATTTATCCAATTGCTGTTTAAACATCTACATGGACTCTGATAAAACCACCTCTTCAGGCAGAGAATTCCATATCCTTATTGCTCTTACTGTAAAAAAAAAACAAAAAAAACTTTTATTTACCTTAAATTAAATCTTCTTTCTTTCATCCTACTTGCGTGACCTTGTGTACTATGTATAGCCCTGTTTATGAATAGATTTCCAGATAATGGTACTGGCCCTGAATATATTTGTATAATGTTCTCATATCCACTCTGAGGCGCTGTTTATTCAAACTAAAGAGATTTAATTTTTTTAACCTTTCTTCATAACTAAAATGCTCCATTCCTTTGATAAATATTAGCTTGTCTCTGCACTTTTTCAAGTGCCATGATATCCTTCTTTAGAACATGTGCTAAAAATTGCACAGCATATTCAAGGTGTGGTCTTTCCAGCGATTTATAAAGAGGCAAAATTATATTTTCATCCTGAGAACTTATGCCCCTATTTATGCATGACAAAACCTTACTGGCCTTAGCCACTGCTGATTGACATTGCATATTGCAGCCTAATTTGTTGTTTATAACAATTCCCAAATAGTGATGTCCCTAACGGTTCGCCGCGGACTCATCATTGAGTAAACTTTGACCCTGTACCTCAAAGTCAGCAGACACATTCCAGCCAATCCGCAGCAGACCCTCCCAGACAGCTCACTAAGAATGAGGCTTCACAATGAATGTAAAATGGATGCTGTCCAGGAGGTGGGAGGGTCTGATTGGCTGGAATGTGTCTGCTGACTGTAAGGTACAGGGTCAAAGTTTACTCAATGATGAGTCCGCGGCGAACCGTTCGGCGAACCGTTCGGGACATCACTATTCCCAAATCCTTCTCGTGTGTTGTTTCCTCTAATTCACTACCATTTAGGGTGTAAGTTGCTTGTGCATTCTTTACCCCTAAGTGCATAACTTTGCATTTCTCTACATTAAATTTCATCTGCCATTTTAGGGCCCAGTCCCCCCAATCTATCTAAATCCCTCTGCAGCATAGCAATATCCTGCTCACATTTTATTACTTTACAAAGTTTTGTGTCATATGCAAACACTGAAACATGGCTTTCAATGCCTATTTCAAGATTATTTATAATTATGTTAAATAGAAGCGGTCCTAAAACAGAACCCTGAGGGACACCACTTACCACTTTTGTCCAGCTTGAAAATGTACCATTAATGACCACTCGTTGTACTCTATCCTTATGCCAATGTTCTACCCAAGAACAAGAATATTCATCTAGATCAATTTCTTTTAGTTTGAACACTATTATGAGGAACCGTATCAAACGCCTTGACAAAATCAAAGATCACATCCATTGCAACACCCTGATCTCTACTTATTTCTTCGTAGAATGCAATTAGGTTACTTTGACATGATCTATGTTTCTTAAAATCATGCTGATTATTGCTAATAATAAAGTTATTCCCAATGAATTCCTGAATATTATCCCTTCATAGCCCTTCAAATACTTTCCCAGTCACAGAAGTTAAAGGGGCACTATAGTCACCCAGACCACTTCAGCTCAATAAAGTGGTCTGGGTGCCAGGTCCCTCAGGTTTTAACCCTTCAGATGTAAACATAGCAGGTTAATCCAATCTCTAGTGGCTGTCTTCCTGACAGCCGCTAGAGGCGCATCTGTGACGCATTGAGAAATGCTTTCCTATGGACTGTTTGAATGCGCGCGGCACTTGCCGCGTATGCGCATTCCGCTCCACTCAGGAGCTGACGTTGTTGGGGGAGGAGAGGTCACCAGCGCAGAGGTAGCCTGGCGATGGATTAAGGTAAGCTGCTGAAGGGGTTTTAACCCCCTCAGCTCCAAGGGTGGGGGCACCCTTAGGGTACTATAAGGTCAGGAAAGCAGGTTTGTTTTTCTGACACAATAGTGATCCTTTAAGCTCACAGGTCTATAATTTCCAGGCAAGGATTTTTAACCCTTTTAAATATACGAATGACATCTGCCTTCCTCC